ATAGCTACTCAATTTGACTATTTAAATTTAGGTTTTCAATCCCTTCTTGAGTAAATTTAGGGCTATTTATACCTATTTTCACTGCAACTACAATTTCAAGTTTATTAGGATAAAACTACACATATCTTTGGTAGATGTCTATCTCATACTGATTTTAATATTTGTTCCTTTTTAATCAGTTCAACTGTACTAGTCTTTTCAGAGCCATTTTCAAACATTGACTTCTTTATTATTATTTTTTCTTAATTTCTTTCCTTATTTTTTCCTTTAAAAAACAAATTTTGGGTTGCTTTACCACCAAGCTATATCTCCAGTCCTTTTTRTAATCTTATATATGTGTGTGTGCGTGTATATATAATTTTTTTCTTTTGAGATGGAGTCTAAGTTGCTTAGGGCCTTAGTTGCTGAGGTTGGCTTTGAACCTGCGATCCTCCAAGTTGCAGGCATGTGTCACTGAGCCCAACTGATACTCTTATAACTTAATATGGATGTTTGTCTTTTATTTTATGCCTAGTTTTCTAACACCACTGAGGTTATAAACTTCCAATACCTTAACTGCTTCCCTGTGCCTTTTGCTATGTTTTTAATTTCAACRTTTCTGCACTTTCTTGTTTTAGACGTCTTTTGTACACAGCATGTTCTTTGATATCTGATAATCTCTGTCGTATGACTGGAGCATTTAGTCCATTTTCACTTGGTGTAAAAGTGAACAACATGAACAATACATGGGTAATGAAGGTAGAGAAAGAAACCCTAAGAAAGAATAACAGAAATGAAGATGGATAGGTTCATCTGTGGAGTGGTCACAGCTGAGGCAAGAACCATGGGTTTSAATATAAATAGTAAAAACTATCAAAACTTAAATGCAAAAAGGAAAAAGCCAGGATATCATCTGAGAACAGTTATAAAAGGTTAACATACAAATAATGGAAAAACAGGGAGAAGGCAGAAAAATATTTTAAATAATGACAATCACTCAAAATTAATGACAGACACCAACAGATTCAAGAAGCTCTAAGAATGCAATTAATGCCACTAACAACAAAACTTCATTAGGCATAGCACATTCAAACTACAGAAAGTCCAAGGCAGAAGAGAATTTAGAGGAACAAAATACCTACAGAGCAGTAAATATAAGAATAATATTGTACTTCTCTTCAGAAACCATGCAAGCAATGAGCGAGAGGAATGAAACATTTAAACATTGTACTGGAAGCCCTAGCTAATGCAGTTAAGAAAAAGTATATATATTGGAAAGAGAAAAAAAAAAAAAAAACTGTCTTTGCTTGCAAATGATATGATAATGTAGAAAATCTCAAAGATTGGACAAAAACCTCCTGGAACTAATAAGTGATTATAGCAAGTCTGCAGGATATGGTTGATAAGAAAATAATGGGTTTTATTTATCAGCATGAACAACTGGGATCTGAAATAAACAGGTAAAAAAAATAATACTTAGGCATAAGTATAACAAAGTGTGCGACAAGACCTATATAAGAAAAATCACAAGACTCCAATGAAAACAATCAAAGAGGGCTGGGGAAGTGGCTCAAGCGGTAGCATGCTCSCCTGGCATGGGTGCGGCCTAGGTTCGATCCTCAGCACCACATACAAAGATGTTGCRTCCGCCGAAAACTAAAAAATATTAAAATTCTCTCTTTGTCTTAAAAAAAGAAAACAATCAAAGGAGAAGAACATGAACGAAGAGATACTCCATGTTCATGGACTGCAAAAGTCCATTTTTGCCAACTTGATCTGTAAAATCAACACAACTCTAACCAAAATTCAGGAAGTTATTTTGTGGCTATCAACAAACTAACTTTGTGTAAAGGCAGAGAGAGACTCAGAATAGTCAATACAAAAATGAAGAAAAAAAGTCTAAATTCAACATTTACTATAAAATGACAGTAATCAAAAGAGTATGGTATTGGTAAAATAACAGACCAAGAGGTCAATCAAATAGAATAGTGGGTCCAGAAATAGACCAATATAAACGCAATCAACTGATCTTTGACTATGGAACAAATGCAATATAGCAGAAAATAGACCTTTCAACAAATAGTACTGTTACAAGTGGACAGGCACATGCCAAAAGAAAGAAAAAAGAATCTAGGTATAGATCTTACAACTTTCATAAAAGTTAACTAGAAGTGGATTATATATCAAAATGTAAAATGCTATAAAACTCCTAGAAGACAGGTGAAAATTCAAAGGACTTTCAGTATAGCAATGAATGTTTAGGCCACTGAGGATACAACCCATGAAAGAAATAACTGATGAATTGGACATCATTAAAATTAAAAACTTCTGATAAAAATAATAATAATTAAAAAAATTAAAAACTTCTGCTCTGCAAAGGAGACCATCATGAGTATAAGATGAGCCACAGACTGGGAAAAAAGTATTTGCTAAACACATACCTGATAAAGGACTATGAACAAACATTACAAAGAACTACCGAAACTCAGTAAGAAAACAAACTGAAAACAGCAAAAAGATATGAATAGACACCACAGAGAAGATACACAATTGGAAAATAAGCATATGAACAGATGTTCAACATCATGTCATCACAGAATTGTGAATCAAAACAACAATAATACCACATGATTCAGGACAGCCAAAACCCAAAACATGAACACCATAAAATAGTGGAGAGGATGTAGAATAGAGAGAGCTCTCTTTACCAGTGGTAGAAATGCAAAATGATATATCCACTTTGGAAGATGGTTTAGCACTATTACCATATGATAGAGGAAACTTAAATGCATACTACTAATTGGAAGAAGCCAATCTGAAAATGCTACATACTGTATGAATCAATACCCTGACATTCTGGAAAAGGCAGAACTATGAAGATAACCAAAAGAACAGAGGTTTTCAGGGGTTCAGGAAGGGGAAGGATGAAAAAGTAGAACACAGGAGTCTTAGGGCAGTGACTCATCTTTGTTGTAATACGGTAATGGGTATATAAGTCTGTGAAATCCACAGAATGTACACCACAAGAGTGAACCCCAATGTTAAACTACAGACTTTAGTAGATAATGTGTCAATGCTGACTCATCAATTATAACAAATATGCTATATTGATACAGTATACTGTCGGTGGGAGAGGATGGCAGGGTTAAATGGGAACATGTGAAAACTCTCTGTGTTCTGGTTAATGTTGCCATGAAYTTAAAAGTACTCTAAAAAAATAAAGTCTGCTACTCTTTTTTTAAAAAAATCAATTGTATTTTTACAAATCCAAAATGAAAGATACAATTCCATTTACAACAGCATCAAAAATAAWAAAATATRTATAAATATATTTCAACAAAAGAAGCATAAACTTACACGGTAAAAACTACAAAATGTCATTAAAAGAAATTAAAGATGTAAATAACTGGGAAAACATCCTATGTTCATAAGAACAATAYTGCCAAAGCGAAAGTAGTTCCCAAACTGATCTACACATGCAAAGCAATCTTCATCAGAATACCTACCAGCTTCCTCCTAGACATTTATGATTCTAAAACTCATGTGAAATTATCAGGATCTCTGAATAGCCAAAACAACCTTGAAAAGGAATAAACTTGATTTACACCTTCCAATTTCAAAACATATTACAAAGCAATGGTAATCAAGGCAGTGTGGTGGTGGCATAGGATAAATGCACAAATCAATAGAACAGAATGGAAAGTTATGTGTTTACAGACAACTGATTTTTAACTGGGGTACAGCCAAGGCCATTTGATAGGGAAAGAACAGACTTTTCAACAATTAATACTGAGACAACTGGATAGCCACATAGAAAAGATTGAAAATGAATCATTATGCCATTTAAAGAATTTGGATCCAACTCCTAAATGTGAATTAAAACTATTAATATTCTTGGAAGAAGAAATATGGGTAAATCTTCATGATCTTAGACTTGACAATGGATTCTTAGGTAAAAACAAAATCATAAGCAACACAGGAAAGAAATGAGGCTGCATCAAAATTTAAAATGTTTGTGCTTTAAGGGACATATCAAGAAAGTGAAAAGATAATCCAGAGAAAATATTTGCCAATCATATATCTTCAAAAGGACTTGTATCTTCAAATATAAAAATATTTACAACTCAATAATAAAAAGACAAATAACCTCAATTAAAACATAAGGAAAGAATATAAATAACAGTTATTTCTTCAAAGAAAATATGCAAGTGACCAATAAGCACATAAAAAAGATGGTTAGGATCTATTAATCATCAGATATGCAAATCAAAACCTTTATCAGTTCACATTTCCAACCTATTAAAATGGTTATAGTAAATAACAGTAACAAATATTGATGAGGATTTGAAGAAATTGGAACCCTGACACATTGATGGCACAGCAACCTTGGAAAAGTCTGGAAGTTCCTCAAAATGTTAAATATGGAGTTAGCATATGACCCAGCAGTTCCCATCCTAGGTATATACCTAAAAGAAACCAAAAAATCATGTCCACACAAACACACGCACATGAATGACCACAGCAGCGTCATTCAAAACAGCCAAAAGACGGGAACCACCCAAATATTTGTGCACTGTGAATGGATGAACAAAGAATGACATATCCATACCATATCATTATTTGGCCATAAAAAGGAATAAAGGAGGCTCAGCATGGATGAACTTTGAAGCCCCAGGTCAAATGAAAGTAAATGGTGACAAAAACCATATAGGACATGATTCAATGTAATGAAATGCTCAGAAAGGCACAAGTGTAAAGTATATCATGGTTACCTAGAGCTGGGAGGTGCAGATGGGGGAATGGGAAGTGATTGCTAATATAGCATGTGGGAATGGATTCCAGTGACATCAGGCTAACCAATTCTTGTTTCAGTTACAATGCATCAAATCCAATATTTGGGTCATGAGATAAATACAATTTTTTTTGGCGGGTGGGGGGGCAGGCACTGGGGATTAAACAGAGGTGCTTGACCACTGAATGACAATCYTACTCCTTTTTTTTACTCAAGATAGGGTCTTCCTAAGATGCTGAGGCAAGTCTTCAATTTGTAATCCTCCTGCCTCAGCCTTTGGAGTCACTAGGATTATAAGTATATGCCACCATATTTTGCTTCTGGCTTCAACAATTATACCCTGTAACTGAGCATGGTGTACCTGATGCAGATGAGGTGGTTCTCAATACATAATCTAGACTACATGCAGAATTTCTCCAGCCTTATATACATAGTAGGTTGGGTCCACAAGAGGTTTACTAAAACATCTACTTGTACATGATCTGCACTGTGTACCCTGCACTTACTAACTGCTCTTTGCCCCTGTAAGCTGCAACAGCCTAGAAAGTGAAGGTGCTGCTTCCTTTGACTCTTCAGCACCTCTACTACCTACCCCAAATATGCACCTTCTCTCAAGTTTTCCTGTCTTGGTGAATATCTGCTGCTTGGGTATTCTGTTTTCAACAGATACCACATTTCCACAGGGAGCATAAGTCAAATGCAAATGGGTATCCATCATTTCTTCATTCACAAATATTTATTGAGCATCTACTACGCACTATTTACCACATTAGAATCTGGGGTGCAATGAAATATCACCTCTGCCCTCATGGAGCTTACAATCTAATAGAGACAATACATGGTGAACCAATACATAAAATCGCAGGTGTGATAAATCCCATACAGTATATAAACAGGGTGATATGATAGAAAATATCTAAGAAACACCTACTTTTAAAATAAAATAATTAAAAGCTGGGGGTATGGCCCAGTGGTAGATTACATGCTTAGCATGTGCAATGCACCAGGTTCAATCCCCATCACTAAAACAACCAACAATAAAATAAAAATAAAATCATTAGGAAGGGCCTGGGAAGGTGGTTAAAACTGGGTCTGAAACCTGACTCCCCACTTAGCAGTTGGCCTTAGACAAATCCTTTACCCTCTTAGAATCTGTTTCCACATTTGTAAACTGGAAATAATTCCAACAAATTCTCATTACTGTTAGCTATCAGGCAAATTCCAATGCCTTCTGTTGCACAAGATTCTTCACAGGCAGAGACTACTGACAAAGGCATTTCCACAAGGACAAAGGGCAGCAAACACTAAATGCAGATGTAGCCCACACTGTGAGAGCCACAGGGAAATGAGAGCAAATCTGTCATGGCAAGGCAGTGAAGAGAACAAAAGAAAAGGCTGAGACAGAGCTAAGCAGGGAGGAAGGAGCCAACAGGCAACAGAAAGGCACAAGAGCATGCACAGCCCAGAGGAGAGCGAAGGTGAGATGGAGGACAAGGAAGGGCTGAACTTCTGGAAAGTCTGTACAAAACCCAGGGATGAGCTCCACAGGTGATCTAAGAAACTCATCACTGTCTCCTCTAAAGGACTAACCACAACTGCCTCCCAGCTGGTAAACAGCACTATTATCCTTCAACCTGTAACAGGGTAAAAGCATAACAGCCCCGTTATCTCCAGGGGACTCAGCACTTATTCCTGCAGATATTCAGTGAATTCTGGAACTTGAGTCCACTTGTTCCTAACTACTTTGGCCAGGATCTGAAAACCAGTTTTGTCTAGATTTCCATGAGTTTCCTAAAAACCATAGCTAATTAATGTCACTTCAGCTTAGTCAAAGGGCTTCTGAGGTAGGTTTGGGCCAGAATCCCAAACCCACTACTCACTCACTATGATGGTGGTGAACTTACTAAATCTGTTTGTCCATTTGTAAAGTGAAAAGCTATTATAAGGAATGAGACACCCTGTAGTAAAGTTAGCACACAAAATCTAATACTAGGTAAGAATTCTTGTTTTTTAAAAACTAGATAAGGCCTTTGAAGGCTTCAATTAGATTTTTTGTAATTACTTTATCCCAGACATAAGAAAAACATTAAACATCTGTTGAATAGTTTGATGAAGGCCAAAATAAGAAACATATTCCATTTTGAAACAACATGCTCCTTAATTTAGGATAGTCAAGCTTCTAGAACACAGAATAAAGGAAGCTTTATAAACCATTCAGAAATGAAAAGCAGTTTGGGAAATAATGAACGTACTACGCCAGTTGAGAAAATGCTACTTACACCTCTAACATGAACATAGCAATCTATTTTCTTTCTCCATAGCCACCCTTGAACACCAAGAATAAGATCTGATTGGCAACATAAAAGAATGCAAAGTGAAACGGGCAGAGCTTGGCCCTGTTTAGTTTTAGCCTTACCACTTTTCCAGTTTAGGTTGGACTGCCTTTTTCTCAGCAGATCCTACTGGCTTTAGGGAGATCAGAAAGGCCACAATGGAGCCTACAAGAGGAAAAAGAAAGCTGCTACTAAGGGCTGGCCCTAGGCACAAATTGTTTAAAAAAACAAAMCAAAACAAAAAACAAAGTGTAGTCTGACCAATATTTTTGCTACTGGACAGTGCAAGTAAAACTATGTGAAAAATCAGTTGGATATACATATGGAGATGTTTCTAGAACTTGTCAGATAAATTCAGTTAACCTTCCATACCCAYAGGACCTGCATCAGTGGATTCAACTACACATTTGGGGGAAGCAGGACTGCATCTGTACTGAGCACATACAGGCTTTTTCTTATTATTATTTAAAAAGAAAGCATAGCTATTTATACAGCTTTTATRTTACATTAGGTATTATAAATAATCTAGAGATGATTTAAAGTGTATGGGTGGATGTACACAGATTATATTAGTACAATGTCCTCTTATATAAGAGGTAACATCTGTGCTTGTTAGTACTGGGTGGGGCAGCTCTGGAAGCAGTCTTCCCAGATAATTGGGACAACTGTATATTTAAAACTGAGAAATCCTGGGAAAGTATCTTCCAATTATCCTTAGCTCAGTTCACCAGGCTCAGAAGAGCTGAGGATCTGAGTGCAGATGGCTGCATAAAGATAAATGTGTTCTTGGAAAATACACTATACAGCCCTTCTCACATCTCCTGGTGGAGTATAAATGACAACAACTGTCTGGAAAGGTGGCATGAATCAAGAACCACAAAAATGTTCATATCCTTGACCCAGAAATCACACCTCTAGGAATTTATCCTAAGAAATAATTTATGCACAAATCTAAAATGTCCCATGGGGAAAGATTATATGAATTGTGATAGAGCCACACAATGGAATATCATGGACTTAACAATGGTTGACAGAGTTTTTAATGACAAGGAAGAATGCCTATAGATTGAGGGAAAAAACACGGTACAAATTATATATAAAAATGCAGAAGCAGCAAAGAGTCTGGCAAGAAATATGCAAAAATATTTAATGTGAATCTCTTCTCTCTGGTGATGGACTTAGGAGCAATTTTTGTTGTTCTTTTCTGTACTGTCTACATTTCTACAATGAGCATATACCACTGACATAAACAAGAATAAAAAATCAGTGAACCAGACAATCATTAAAGAAGAATGGGCAAATATTTTAATAAAACTTTATTTGTTTTTTCTAGAAATTGCAGTGTGGTTCCTAACAAAAAAAARGGGGGGGGGAGTGGGAGTCATACAAACCAGTCATTTATTTGATGGGAGGCATGAGACTCTTAAAAAGCAGAATTCTTAAATTCTTTTCTATAAGTTTCATTGTACCCATGTAGAACTGTAGCAGAACAGATGGAATTAGATGGAACCATCAATCACCCATCAAAATGACACTACCAAGCTCTCACATCACATGAACCCAGTGCCACTAAGTCCAATGTCACCCTTAAGTTATAATGGGGTACTACTTTACATTTTCTAAGGTGAAAACAACTAGGAAAAAAATTCATTATTATATTCCAAAGAACTAGAAATAATTGGAAACAATTACTTTTTACCCAATGAAGGCTGGGGAGAAAAGAATACCTGACAACTAAACCAATGCTCTGTAAAAACCTTAATAGTTAAAAGCACAAATGTAACTTTTCTGGCAAAAGAAGAAAGGAGGTTATTAGATGGTGAGTGTCTAGGATTGGTTTGAAGGTATATCAAAGYCAAATAGTTTCTGTTCAACTTTATTTAAAATTCAAAATCTTACCTTTCTTATTTCTTAATACTATCCTAAAGAACCTTGTTTTAAACCAGGAGTTATGGATCAACTGAATTACACTTGCTATCTGCTATCTCTTACCTACATATTGTATTTTTATCCTGGAACATGTTATCAGATAGATGCCACATAACCTGAATTCATCACAACTGTTTCATTTGGCCTTTACATTTATTGTAGAACAGATACCAAGTATTTATAACTTCAGGGCAGAAATGGAATAAGATCCTACAATGGATCCCCTAGGGGTGAGAAAGTGGGTGAGTGTAAGTGGCTCTAGGAGAGCAGCTACAGTCAGCACCAGATATTCTGCAGGACGTACCAAAGCAAGAGAAGCCTTTCCTATTTCTAAGTGAAGAAAGGTAAAAATACAAGTTGGTTAAAAGACTATAAAAGTAGTAATTACAGCTCCTTTCCTTAAACAAGATACTCCAAATAATGACTGACTGGCTGACTTCTAAGTAACAGCTTTTCATTCCATTATACTTTGTTAAGCAGAATCTGGGTTAGCAAAATACATTGCTATCAGGATCTTTGTAAAAATAATTAAAGTGACCATATTAAATCAAGGGTAATAGCTTAGAAACCATGTTATTGTCATAGTGCCAAAAGCACACCGAAAAGTATCTTCAAAGACATCTACAAAAGGTAAGCCCAACATTAAAAACTTAAAAAGTATATTTTTAAAAGTGTTAGTTGCCTGAGGTAAAATAAAAATTTATACATAAGTTCAGTGTAAAGCACCAAAAATGAACACTAAAACTGTTCACATAAAACAGTAACAAGGAAACATCACAACTACAAAAGGAGAGGTTATCAGTTACAAGAACCAAGTAAAGTAACTAATTTCTATTAATATTTTCATTACTTTATAAAATTTTGCTGATTCAACTGGGAGAAAAGGAGTCTCCGAGAATCTAAAGGGTCACAAAATGATAACAAATATACATTATTTCTTTGTTAACAAATTATACCACACAAATCAAGTTACTTTTTCTGATTACAAAGTTAACAGAAATTGCATCTGTACTTACAGCAGCAACACGAAATCCTACCAAGAAGTAGTTCTCTGTATCTGGACCAAAAATAAGACTGTAGTCTGGACTGAAATCTAACAGTTAAAAGATGAAACTGGCAACTACGGTGCAACTAGTGCTCCAAGAGTCAGGGCTGACTTTGCTTTTCCATGTCTTTAACATGCAGCCCACACAAAGGGATACTACATTAAATAAGTGGATGACACAGCCAAAGAAGGTATAATGTGGAAAATCACACATTACAGCAACAAATGCCATGAAAACTTGAGAGAGCATCAAAACCCAAGCAGGGAGCTCCCTGGAGTTGCACCAATTCTGAAGCCAGGTGTCCTCGTTAAACTGCAAGTGGACAGCCCTCCTCTGGGCACCTCTGCTTGAGAAGGAGACTCGTCAGACTAGCTATGAAAAGTGAACACAGCCTAGGAGAGAAAGCTCAACGTAAGAAAATGCTAGCTTCTAGATAATTTAAGAAGCCAAATGAAATAAAGTATAAAACTTGGATAAAAATGTTTCTCTACAAGGAAAACCCAGTTTATGAGTGGTTTAAAATCAAACAAATGATAGGGGAGTGGTTTGCAAAGTGGACCCAGTAAAGCTAGAGGGGTGGAGTGTTTCTGGGTACCATGGAGTGAGACATGAAGTGGGCTTCATGTCCCTCTCCCAAACCCTTCCTCACTGTTCAGTTTAAACATTTCTCATTTTGTTTCATCTTTTGTGGTTTAAAGAAAGACTGAAAAAAAGGAAAAAGAAATTAATAATGTCCCCTTTCCTTGCTACTGTCTTTTCCTTTTGAAAATCATTCCATGAGACAGAAATTACACTGGCAAAAAATATGACTGAAGACCTAAAACAACTTCTATGTCACTGCCCCTAAAATGTGAACAGCTTCAACAGTGATTTGTATATTTTCCTATAAAATCAATGAGCAAATTAAATTCTTAGGGAGAGACTAAATTTTGTTCGTTCCACCTTCCCTAAATCTGTCCTTCCACTCCTATCAACATTTCTAGACATTGGAAAGAAAATTCGAACAAACTTTCTAGCCACACCTTACCTCAAAAATATTTCATTCAAAGGCTGCATAGAATTTTTTAAGAAGGCAAGCCTTAAATTTATAGAAAACTCTAGAATGAGAATGTACAGTTACCAAAAATAACACATCATGTCAGGGCAGAATCTGCATAGTGTTCTTAGACATAATCACTAATAAAGAGCAGCCAAATCCTAGAACTTCCTCTGCATTCATGAGCAAACAGTATCAAAATGTAAATGACAACCAGGGAAAAAAGAACACCACAAAGGCCATTTTTCTTTGATGGAATCATGAAGAGTGAAAGAATAGTGAAACTCAAACTTTGGCCACTTATCAAAATTTCATTACTGCAACAAAAAAATAAATCTCCATGGAAAAGACTCATTTAGCAAACATGACTTCTTTCCATATATTTTTTCTTTGACATTGGATTAAACAGAAGTTGCTGTCATTTTAGAATCAGTGATTACATCTTTTTTAATTAGAAAGGTTTAAATATTTACATAATTTTTATTGCTGTTTATTATAACCCCCCCCCCCAAAAAAAAACACCTTTAAACTGCCTTGTAGAATCCATCCAGTAATGTATGAAATTGAAATCCACTGCTCAAGAAGACACTGTTATGGCTGAAATGTATCTGATGCTCAACATGAATACGAAAAGTCCTTGTGTGTCATTTGGTTCTTGCTTCAGTCATCTGGGTTCATCTCTCAGAAAGCAAAAGAATCCATTTGACGTTTCAATAAATATCAAATTGCCAAAAAAATAGCATCCATGGACCAGAGATCCAAGAAAGAGCAGTTTTGATGAATGATTCCCAGAATCAAATGAGTCCGCCTTTAGTCCAATGAGATGATGTCAGGAATGTTACTTCCACTGCTGGTTATGACCCCTGTCTCACTTCTGCTGCTGGATGAACTAACATGAGTACTGCTTTCATGGGGGCTGGTGGTGGTGACGGACGTACTGCTTGCTGTTAAGGGTGAGGTGAGACTATCCAAAAACATAGGAGGACAGTACTGCTTGAAACAAACAATGATGCCGATGAGGAAGAGGCTACATTGGTTTTAAATAAAGAGACTAGAAACTGTTAGATATGCACAAGTGATAGTCACATATTTAAATTGCCCTTGAATTTAAAGATACCTTTAAACTTCACATCTTTGGGTGGAAGATGGCCTGAATTTAGCTAGTTTACATTCTTCAATGAATGCATCATATTCTTGATTCTCTCAAATCAAGAACATGTGAAACTTGTTTGTTGACCGAATACAGAGGTAAAAGAACAAGTAATGTCAACAATAACTGAAATCACTTAGTATTAAATATTGGCCCCAAAATTATGATTCATTCTTAATTGGTCACTAAGTATATTTAGACAAGGTTTAAACCACAATATAAAAGGCTGAWTAGCATTTTTGCTTGAAAAATAAGTGCTTATGAAAAGCTCAACCATTTTCCAAAATTCAGTATCAAACAGACCCTTTATGAGTAAGAGTGAATATTAAGAGCGAGCAGCAGAATGATGGGGCTGGACTCCTCTGTACMTACACATAGAACACTACTTATGTAATAAAAATGCCAACATTCATTCTAAAATGGAGACTTCAAGGAATGCTCAGGCAGGAAATCATATTATCACAAAACTTTGGAATGCATCTTAATGAAGATCTAATCTAATCTTAAAATGCTTGCTTGACATTCCTCACCAGTGTTCATATTTCAAGTCACCTTACCATACAGGCTGCTAATTACCCCCAAAGACAAATCTTAAGTGTGAAAGTTTATAATACTGACCAAGAGGAATGGAGAGAAACAAGGGATAAACATTTAAATGATCATAGTAGAATATGTTATAAGAGAAACAACCATACTGACTTTAACAAAATAATTAGCAACTCACTGTCCTAAGTGGGTCTGGATACAGACTGAAAAGTTAGTAAGGATATCTGATTGGTATTATATATTCTATATATCATTCAATTCATTCTTAGAACCACTAACTTATGAAATGGTCATTTAAAACTGAAATTGTTTAGACTCCATGATCTTCAAAGCCCATAAATAAAATGAGAATAATAGCACCAAGTTTAGGCTGTCTTTCAACAGAGAAAGTTATTTAATGTTTTGGATGGAAAATTCTTGATATATTAATAAAGTGAATGCCACACACAAAGAGATTCAAGGGACGTTATAAGGGGGAGAAAGTAATTTTAAAAAGCTTCTAAGTAGCTCTGAAGATAGTTGAATCATTGAATACTACAAATTCTTCTCTAAAATCAAATCAATTCTAACTTCTCTAAAAAGTTGTTACTAAAAAGTCAGGGAAAAATCTGGGGGGAAAATTCCAGAAACTTATGATTTTATTCTTACTACTTTTCAGGTTGGTTTTTACTACCTGACAGTAAAAATACACCCCTCTTCATTTATACAATGAGTGGATGCTATAGTCCCATCCTCCATGTACTCCCTCGCCTTGAATTGTTATACTCCAGTTGTAACCATTTTACTTCTAACCCTTATCTATATATCTACATAAAGACAATAGATATTAAGGGGCAATATGGAACTAAAGCAGGAAAACCTAAGGATTCTATAATAAATGGAAGACACAATCTCATTCATCTACCAACTTATGTAATCAGCCTGACACTCACCGAGGCAAACAGAACTATGAAATAATAATCTCAGGCTATAATATAATTTTTTCTAAAGGACTTCATAAAAATTGGTAACCTTTAAGTCTGAAAAATCCATATCCTAGAAAAATAGATATCCTTGCTATAGAATCTACTAAATCAACTAAAGATGACAAGAAATTCCTCAGTCTGTTCATTATTTGGGGTCCAAGTTCCCAGTGCTGTTTGTGTTCAGATTAATAAATGACAGGAGGCTCATAACAGACCTGCAGTTAGTTGATGCTGAGCAACCCATGAAGTAGGGGTCTATGGTTCATCCTCTGCCCCACTACTCATTATACCTGCTCTCAAAGTCTCTTTCTGGCTGTTTTCTTTCCCTATTTTTCCTCTGCTAGAGCTCTAACCATGTGAATGGAATCCATGCTCACTGCACAGTCTGAAGGGCTGGAACTYGGAGCTAACAGAAATGCTTATCTTTAAGAGAAAATAGGCACATCACACCTTTTCACTGAGGTATTCCTAATGTCTGATGGTTTTCCTTCAAACAATGGAGAATTAAGTTGGCAAGTCAAGTCTATTTAACAAGCTTTAGCTGTTATTTATGTATATAGTAAGTTTCTGTTTTGGGGAACTGGAGACTGAACCCTGGGGCACTTTTACCATTTAGCCACATCCTAGCCTGTTTTCTTATTTAAGGACAGGGTCTAAGTTGCTGAGGCTGACTTTGAACTTGTGATCCTCCTGCCTCAGCCTCCCAAGCCGTTGGGATTACAGGTGTGTGCCACCGCACCAAGCAAGATTAAGTTTTTATTGATAAAATTTTACCTTTAAAACCTTAATCCCCAGCCACCTGGCACTGCTTCCACTCAATCTAATCAAATACTGATTAATCTCAATAAAGTATGATTAAAAGCTTAGGTATTAAAGACAAAAAATTATAAATTGAAAAATAGTAACTTTATTTCTCCAAATAAAACTGTGAAATATTTATACAGTACTTTCTTCCCTTCAATGTAAATAACTGATAGTTGACTGTCCTGATTTTATGCAACTGGTCATTTTTAGTTAGTATGGCATAACAATCAAATACAAATTAGTTGCTTAAATTCAGGATACATACCTGGGGATCAACTGGAATAAGGGAAAGAAAATCCAAACCTAAAACAAAAATGCTTTGTTAATAGTTGACTCATATTTTGGAGACTAGAATTATTTTCCAAAATGATTTTGTATTTATCATAAATCACAAAACTACTGGGTTAAATGCTTACCACTTTGCCATAGGAAGTTCTGTACCATATCACTTATCAGTGACACATCAGTGATATTTGATGCATATAAAAACCTGACAAAGTAACTGGAAAAACCACCTCCCAGCATCTCAAAGGAAGCAGTCCAAAAATTTTCAGAGAAGTAGGACTAATCATACATTTTTCCTTTGTCATTTAACAGAATGAGAGGCAATCAAAACGATGAGATAATGATCTTCAGATTAAAAAGAAAAACATACTTAGGTTCTTAAAGATAATTCACATTTATTTTTCAGAAATACACATTGAGGTTCATCTAAAATATTACTTCTTAAACAGATGTCTCTTTCATTGATACCTCTCTGACCCTTGCTGCCAATGAAGAGTAGTACACAGTCCCACACTCCGCACAAAGCAAGCAGTTGGTAACTGTTGCTCACTAACAAGCAAAAGTTAATACAAGTTTACTCCACTTATGTTTTAGAAATAGGAATGTAGAAAAGGTTGCCCAGGAATATCATTTAAGAGGGTTAAAGTAACAGAATAATAAAACTTCAGATCTGAAAAACCAAGCAATGAACTTCGAAGTCAGTTCCCCTAGACCTCCTTGGGTAACTGAATTCTTTTCAATTATCTCAAAATAAAAAAGGAATCATAGTAGGCCTAGCCATTAAGACAGGTCAGAGTCTATCAATAACATGGCTTTTTATATGCAGGCATTCAATGTCACCCCAAATGCAACTACAGAGTCAAAGTATGATGTTATATACMCTATTACTCGAGACTATCAGTGAGGATTGTTTTTAAAATATTTAATATCCCCTATGAATAATTTTGACTCAGAAATTTTAAAGTGTATTTACTCCCTTATAATCTCAAAATCTGTTGTAAGCATATCAAGTGATATAAACTATAGCACCAGTTATCTAAAATGAAACAATTCCTAAAGCATTTTTAAAATGTTGCTATAGTTTTTCATTTCATACACTGGTTACCAGCTATGTAATACAGCAGTTTGAGACTATGATGGACAAAGGAAATTACAATGAATCTTTCCAATGACTTCCTCCATTAAACTGAAATCATATTTCTAAACAGAGTTTCTTTTCACATTAATGATATTGTTCAGTAAATCCTGCTTCTGTACAGTAATTCAAATTTAGCCTAAAGTTACATACCTTCTCAGAGTTTTATATAATAAAATTTCTATTGCTGTCACAAAAAGTTTATTGGAATATAATTGGCCTCATTTTATTAAATTTTTGTTTTGCTTCAAATGGTATAACATTTTCCAAATTTCTTAAAAGTTTCTACGTTTTAATAGTTTTTTAGTTTACATGTTCTATCACTTAATGTTTATTACTCAATCCATTTTAACTTTTTTAAAAATAAAGCTAAAGAAAGTATTGACATCTCTGATGGAATACTGTGTACTGAAACCAAATCACTCAGAAATGTTCATTTTCTAAATGTTCAACTTCTTCCATTTCATAATTTCAACTTACATAAATTCACAGTCTTGATATAATATTCCRCTTCTGCAGCTCTATTGCCACTAAAAGATGCAGAGATCCAAAGATTCTACCCGTTTTCATTATTTCAATATCCAGCTTATCTCTTCGGGGATTTTTTGTGCGCCAATAAATATCAAGTCAATTAGAAAATAGTTAAAAAGATTTACTTGATCTGTATCTTTTGATACTCCATCCAAACATAACTGAAATATGGTGACTTATACAATGCCATATTAAAATATYTAGACTTTTTTTTTTTTAAATTAGGGTGAAACCCTAGATTGTCTTCTAAGCATTAYATAGGTGCTGTTAATACAAAATCCAATAGGGTTTTAAAGTAAATATTTCTTAATGAAACTCTGTCTTAAGCACTTAACAGTAAAATGGATAAAATGTGATGTTTTATGTTACTCCTTCTAAGAAGAAGCTAAACATCCATCAAAATCTTGCATTTTTTCCAGGTATAGCTGCACACACCTGTAAACCCAGAAACTTAGGAGGTTGAGGCAGAAAGCTCCCAAGTTCGAGGGCAGCTTGGGCAACACAATGACATAATCTCCAAAAAGAAAGAAGACTGGGGAATGTAGGTCTGAGGTAGAGCACTTAGCACACGCCTAGCATGCACAAGGCCCTGGGTTCAATCCACCACATACCAAGAGTCTTGWATTTTTACATTTTAAGTAGATTAAAACTCATGAACTAATAGTTTTATCAATAGTGATGAAAACTTTACTACCTTGTTCTATAAATTTAGCAAAATGTTATTCCTTATTTCATCATGTCAATTGTAACATATAATACTGATATATTTTTTGCCCTTCTAAGTATTTCATGGTTGAAAATGATCTATTATTTTAACTAAAAAGTATTATGAAAAATTCTGATGATACATTCTAARTGTTTCTGCTTTATTAACACTGATAAAATTCTCATTTTTGAACTTTAAATGCTTCACTAAGTGAAACTGACTCATTAGTTTTTTTCCCTCATTGATGACAACACACTTTTCCTTAACTTGCGCCATAAACTTTCACAAAACATGATTGCTACAAGATTAAAAATGTAAAGGTTTAGCACTTTCAAATTTTAATGATACAACTGTTGAGCACCATTCGCACCTGACAATATGGCACTAGCAATAATAAGGCAGTCATTATTTTTTTCTTGTAATAATCAAGCTGTTTTCCATTCCATAAATACAAATTATGTTTAATTTTGTATTCACTGTTGCACAGTATCAGAAGATGTTCCAAGCTGCAGTTCATTATTAATATCATTTCTTCTTTGTATTCCTGCAGATTCAGAAGATTCATATTTATGATGTTTAAAAAGAATGTTAAGAAATGTATTAAAACTTTCTTATCCTTTCATTCTTGGTGTTCTATTTAATATTTTATTATAAAATTATTAAATTTATCAATACCCAAATTCTACATTATGACTAATGACATAAAAATCATACATAAGAATAAAACAAAAGTGACTATTAGTTATAAAGAGCAAGTTAACATAAAAACAAAATTTAAACTATTTGGATGTAATAACTGCTTCATAACTCACATTCGACAATAAACTAGTCATTCTTCTAAAGGATAATTGAAACTATTCTATTTAGTTTATCAACTGTTAAGAAAGTTTCTCAACCTTTTAGCAACCAGATACTGGTTTTTATTGGTTAAACATCAGTCCCATATATTAGTGTTGTATCCTCAATACCAGCTTTGAATGCATTTTCCCAAATACACAGATTAGACTAATTTTACACTACATTTTTCTCAAAACCACACATTTTTTTAAAGATGTAAAATATCACTTTATAAGATCACATTCTGAAATAATGTAAATTCTCCCAACTTAAAAAAATTCATCCAGACCCACATCATTTGAAAACTTGCCAGGGCAAGTGATTTATTTGTAAATTGTGTCTATGCTATTGCTAAATAACCTGAGCCACTTCAATAAACTGAAAAGTTCACTATCTTTTCAGAATTAGTTTTTAATTCAAGATCTTAAGGAAACAAATTCTTCAGGGATGCTTATTTATAACATATACTAAGACAATACATGGAAGACTCTTCAACACAGCCAAGGTAAAGCAACATAGACCATTAGGAATTAGAAATATTTGAGTTTCTATCTTTCTCATGGTCCATAAACCCTCACCATATCTCAGCATCAGCCTTTATATACAACAAATACTTTTTAACTGGTACAAATATACACCTGGTACAAATAAAATATCTGGTAAACATATTTTAGAAGCAAAAAGTAGTTTTTTTCTTTAAAGCTCCTTTTGATGGGTACTATTTTAATTTATTCTTTACCACTAAATTTTATTCAAATAATCTAATTTCAAGTGGCAAAATTATATTGGGCTAGATAACACAGCTATCAACTGTTTCAATAGCACAAATTTTGACCAACAAAATAAGCATTGTGCCTAAAACAAAGGGCAAAAAGAAAAATAAACCACATCAAAATCAATTTTACAATTCCATAAAAGAAAATTGATAACAGAAGAAGGAAGTATATAGGGCCTTCAGAGAAAAGTGAAGCCATGAATAGAAGAGGCACTGTTTCTATCTTGCTTTTAACTGACAAAAATTTAAGCAAAAACAATGGCTATGGAGAGAAGGAAGAAGAGTAAAGGGAGAAGCCTTTAAATTTTATAATATGCCCTTGATTGCATATTCTAATACTATGGTAATCTCCAAATATTAAGATCTAGAGAAACACATGATAGATCCTATCCTTTTGGGAGGAAATCCACCGGGTACAGCTAGCAGGCAAAACTGGCCCCCCAAAACATCAGTATATTGGGGAGTTCTGATAGGCTACTGAGAAAGAACAGACTACCAAGAAGAGTATGAGAAAATACTCTCCCTAAACTGTGAGGCTTCTATGATAAATAAACCAAGAAGTCTAAGCACAAATTCTCTATAAGGGAGAATAGTCTATAAAATTTTCCTTCTATTATCCTATATTCCCTACCATCAGAAATCTATAGATTTCTTAGTAGTTACAATGACAACAACTGAATATGATGCAAAATAGATATTACTTTTACATGAGGACTTCAAATTTCTTTACCACTTTTATTTAAAATTTTGAAATTTATTTGCTCCACTGATTAAGATTTTTAAAAAATGATAAAATTTGATTAAAAAAAAATAAAAGAAAAACAACAAAAACTCTCCACATACCTGGCAAGTCTGATGACATGCTTGATATTGGCGTGTGGTGGAATGGTACTGAGTAGTCTGTTAATGAAGGCGGAATAGCAGCAGGATCAACCGAAGTCACACTGGGCACCCTTACAGAAGATGGCTGATACATGAGAACCCTGTTTTAAATAGCATGGGAAATTACAAACAATCTGGCTGTTAGTTCACAGGAGAGAAGAGCTGAACCACTGGGCATTCTCAGATGTAAGTTCACTAAGTCTTAGCACAATTATATGGCAACTACTCACTACACAGTACTCCACACTCTTACTCTCCTCTTTCATAACAGTCTTCATTTTAGCATGAATGTATCCTGGCTCTTAACAGCAGCTATGATGTAAGAGCAAGCTGGCATTAAAMACATGATACACTGCTGGGGTAAGATATATAACACTTTCATTCCACAAAAAGAAATGTGTTTGACATATGCTTTTATTAATGTAAATGTAACATGCATGTGGCTATTAGTAATTTATCTCTAAAAAATTTAAAAATAAAACAGAGAACTCATAAGATTTGACTTTAATCAGGACACTTTTATGAGCAAAGCAACTCACAGTAGCTCAACCAGAATTTCTTCAATTCTAACCTGTATTAATTTATTCAAATATTATCTGGGAATACTCCRAGCAAAGCTGATCAACCAGATAGCAGTAGGGCAAAATCCAATATCAGGATAAGAGGAGCAGTATTCAGGATTTAGGATACGATATTCAGAAATAAAAAAGCCGACTATCATGATGTTACCTATTTTTCTATAAGAATTTTTGACTTTTAAAGTAGCTGTTCATGCTACTAAAAATACAACTAAAACACATAAAAATATTTTATAACTTAGTATTACAAATATACACTATATAATTAAAGCTTTGTAATTTCAAGAAACAATATAATTAAAAATTAAACATATTTTTGAAAAAGTTCAGACTTGAAGAAAGATGACTGTACTTTTCTATTTAACCTGCATTTTCTCTTTGTCTTAACCCAGGGTAAACAACTAGAACTGCCTAAGAAAAACATTTTGAATGTTTATGAGAAGCTAAGCAGCATTACTGACCCTGTTGGCCATCTCGCCAACAAAAAATGAGATACAAGAACGGTGCAAAACATTTAAGGTGAGCATCCCAAAGCATTGCTGGTTAACTTCATGAGTGAGGCTGAAAGAAACCATTATAAAGATGAATAAAGCGCAATCTTCTTAGAAACTAAAAGTAGGACCATGGTGACAAGGCTGGCAGGGATGAAAACTTGGGACCTCTAGATGTCCATTCTCTAGATTAAAATATTTTCTGTTATCATTCAGATTATTAAGTGCTGGTAATGAGAACTACCTATTTGCATGATATTCTTCATACTCTGGTAAATAAATCATGTTAGGAAATAGTTTAACCACTTAAATAATCAGAATCTACTTAGAGTCCTTCTAAGACTGGTTTGTTTATACCATAAGGACCTTGTCTAGCTGTTATTCCATATTACTCGTTGAAAACACAAACCGAAAATGTGGAAAACAAAGTCATTTTGAGAGTACATATATATAGTTGTGTTGGCAACTACATTATTCTCAGAAAAATCAACAAACAAAAGTCGTAGTTCAGAAACTTTAGATTATAAATTGATCGATTCAAGGGGCATATGGAATATAATATGCTTGACATGAAAACATAAGCCTGGTACTTCAAAACACATTTTCCAGAGTTAGAGGGAAGTCATTCCAAAGATAATCTGCCTTAGGAAAGAATCAAGAAGTTCCTTAGTCTCCAACAGAACCTGAAGATCTAGAGCCACAAACAGGATATGAATGATATTATAAAAGAATCTAGAGGAATAAATGAAAAACTTGGTAATAAATAAGAGAAGAGAAAAYAACCAAAAGTGTTTTCATACACGAGCCTACCCACTCCACCACCAGGAGTGCAAATCAGAAGGAAGAACAGAGAAGGTTAAGAAAGAGGAAGAGACCAGATAGATATGCCTTAGTGCTGGGGAGGAATCTTAAAAAAAAAAAAAAAAAAGGTTCTGATTATTATGGTTGCCTCTCAGTATTAATATCTCGATCCTACTTTTTCTCAAAATATAAGAGAGAAAACTTTCAATGACAAAAAAAAAAACCCAAAAAACTTCCCACATATATAAAAACGTTTCATTTAGTTTAAAAATTCCTACTAAAGGAACATTGAACCTATTATCTTTTCTCTGCCCCTGAAGGAAACTAAAAGGAGAATTTCAAGGGCTACTACAGTTCTATGGTAAAGCTCCAGCTTAGAATATGCAAGGTTCTGGGTTAAATCCCAGTAGCAMAAAAAAAAAAAAAAAAAAAAAAAGAATTTTAGGTCGATAAGAAAAAGATAATGCCTTTCTTCCTACCACTTACCCTTTTCTTCCTTTGAGATGTCACTGGAGATTTTCTTTCGTCTTGACCCTATATTACAGAAATCAGCAACCCAACTCTTTCCTTCCCCAACCACTGATTTTATATCTAAAGAGCAGACAAGTAAGCATCCCTGTGCTCTATCATCACAGGAACACTAATTATTGCACATATCCCGTTTACAAAACAAGAAACCTTAAATAATTAAATAACTACTCATGCTTCTGCCATAACAAAATATTGACTGTCAAACATAAAAATGCAAAATCTAATGGAAGTAAAAACTATTAAATCAACTTCTAAAACCATATGAAAAGTTAAAACATTTTAGTGTTGACTAATTCCTATTACCGGAACTTTGTAAGCATTAACACAAATTCAACTTTATATAAAATGGGTGTAAATAGACATTAGGGTATCAAATTAGAGACTGGTAGTACATCTTGCTTTCATCAAATCTTCACCATGACTATAATCAGAAACATAAAATGATTCTAAAACCTATGTGAAAAATACATGTATTTATAGATATAAATAACAGGTTCCATAGAGATATGTAAATGGCTGTTTTTATGAAATTATGGGTATACAAATGTGACACCATGAAGTAACAGATTTTTAAACAGTCTTTAAAATTTGCTATGGTCCAGTATGGGGATTCTTTGGAAAACTTGGAATGGAATCACCAATTGACCCAGCTATCCCACTCCTCAGTTTATACCCAAAGGACTTAAAATAGCATACTACAGGGACACAGCCATATCAATGTTTATAAAGCAGCACAATTCATAATAGCTAAATTGTGGAACCAACCCAGATGCCCTTTAGTAGATGAATGAAGAGGGAAACTTTAAAATATATACACAATGGAACATTACTCAGCATTAAGAGAGAATAAAACATGGCATTTGCAGGCAAATGGATGGAACTGGAGAATATAATGCCAAGKGAAGTAAGCCAATACCCCAAAACCAAAGGCAGAATGATTTCTTTGATATGAAGACGCTGACTCATAATGGCAATGGGGGGGGGGAAGCATGGGAAGAATGGAGGAACTCAGAATAGGGAAAAGGGTAGGGAGGGGAAGGGAGGGAACAAGGGGGTTGGAATGATGGTGAATTTTGAGTTACACATCATTACTCTAAGTACATGTAATGTAGTTATTTGTGTACAATCAGTGACTTGAGAAATTGTGCTCTATACGTGTAAAATGAAATAAATTGCATTCTGCCATTGTGTGTAATAAATTAGAATAAATAAGTTTTAAAAAATTTGCTATAGACACTTCTTGGGTAGGCAATGATACATTACACACAGTATGTATTATGCAAGTGTACATATTCATTTAAAATTTTTTAAACTTTATCCACAATACCACAACACAAAAGTAAACTGCTAGGCTGCTGTTAGATAGTAAATCCTAGCATTCTGGATCATGTATTACATACATGGAATTCATACCTGTCTCAGACACAGATATCTGAAAATGAGTTTTCTGGTTTGTTTTTTTTTTTTTCCTTTTTTTTGTGTGTGGGGTGGTGGTGGTGGTACAGGGTTGAACCCAGGGGTGCTTACCTCTGAGCAACATCCTTTTTACTTATTTTCAGACAGGGTCTCGCTAGGTTGCAAAGCTTGGCATCAAACTTGGGATACTCCTGCCTATCCTTCCAAGGGCTGGAATTACAGGCATGCACCACCATGCCTGGCTGAGTTGATTTTTATTCATATACCTGAAGCTCACCATGCACTCCCACTTTATGATCATAAAGGAATAAAGATTTAAATTTGCTACCAATTCTTAATATTTCTTAATACACATTTTATTCCTATTATTACATACACATTTGATTCCTATTATTTCCTGTCTCCTTATTAAAACCAAGCCAACTATTCAATTTTGGAGGGACAGGAGCATCAAATGCAAAATATCTCAATATAGAAGAACTTAAGTTTTCTAAATGTTTTATATGGTACCAGTTTCTTCCAACAAGAATTATAAAACTACATTTAAAACTCTGTGGTGGGGTATGCCTGTAATCCCAGCAGCTCGGGAGGCTGAAGCAGGAGGATTGCAAGTTCAAAGCCAGCCTCAGCAACTTAGCAAGGCCCTAAGCAATAAGGTCCTGTTTCAAAAACAAAACAAAACAGCCTGTGGATGAACTTGGTGATTAAATGTCCCTGGGTTCAATCCCTGATAAAAAATCAATCAATCAATCAATCTCCATTAGGTAAGCAAAGAAAAGGGCTAGGATGTCAACAAAATGATAACAGAGGTTCTTTCTACATGACAGACTTTCTTCTCAGTGCTCTATAAAATTGTTTATAAGAATTAATTCTACTAAAACAATATGCTTTTTAAAAAACAGTTYATATAATTTCTGGACTATAAGTCAAAATTAAGTTTTCTGCATCTCTCACCTACTCTTTCATTTGCTTACTGTCATTGGTTATGAGGTTCATTCATTCAAAGAAAAACTTTCACAACTGAGGAAAACCACCGAAATTCTCAATGGAGACATAAGGAAAGATATGAAAAGAATGATGAGAAACAAAACCCCCAAAGCCCAAGAGTAGGAAAGGATTACAGAGAGGATATAACCTTAGTATTAAGCCTACACTCTGATATTTTTTTTTAATTTTTTATGTGGTGCTGAGAATCGAACTCAGTACCTCATGCATGCTAGGCAAGTACTGTACCACTGAGCCACAACCCCAGCCCACACTCTGATATTTTGATAGATGGTGTGCACTCTGTCTTAACACAGAAAAATGTGATAGCACAAAACATCAACTATTTGTGTTCAGAAAGTTCCAATACAAAGTTTTTCCATACATCTCTCATTTGACCTAAATCCACTGAATGTTATAACAAAGAGTAAAAATTAAGTTAGTGAATAGTTCCCTTTTAAGAACTAGGAGGTGGCTGTAACATAGACTCTTCTCCTGGCTTAATACCTTCATCTACTGTGTTCCAGGTTCCATCACCCACACCTTCCTATTCATCCTGCCTGGCTGCCTTAATTTCTTAATACACTTCTTGATGATCATCTCTAAAATTGTCTTAAATAGAGCTGCATAACCTAAAATGGAACAAAACTGCTATAGTACATATTCTGGACACTATTTTTATTAGTGCCATCTAAGAACAAAGAACAAATCAGCTTAAGCAGTAAGTTCTTTAAACCATTAAGTGAATTCTGACATTAAAAAAAAATAGCATTTACTGAATGCCTTTCAGACATTTTAAGACTATATAGCTGTCCTAATGACAAAATTCACTTTATTATTTCCTAATATTAAAGCACTCCCAGAATAAGCTCTACTTGGTCATAATGGATATCATTTTAATACATAATTATCTTTCCATGTGAACCTATTCTTCTATATGGTGATAACCTAATTTGGGTATTGAGGGTTATGCTGATTTCATGGAAGGAGCTGGGTAGCTGAAATTCACACAAAATTCTTAAAACTAAACTGCCATATGTTGATTTAATCATATACTTTCACCTTACACTAACCAGAGTTAGTTATGACCTTCTTTTCAACTTAGATGAGGGGTCTTAATATTTATCTCTATAGTAGCTGACCACGGTATAAACTACCTTTATTCCTTTGCTTTGTGGTCACTTCAGATTTTGCTACCCAATGTATATGTCATTCCTCCAGTGTCATGTCCCTATCAAGTACTGATAAAATGTGGTACAGAATACTCAAAGGATTAGACCCTTGTGGCATGCCACTAGCAACTCTCTACAATCACATTAACTCATGAGCCAGCATCAATGCATATCTTTTAAAATATGCATTTATGCATTCATTCAAGGAATAAATCCAACTTAAACAGCATTTGCAACTCATCTTTCCAGCATATTCTAAATGATATCATGASAAAGTAATATGTAGAAATACCAAATCTAAGCATTCATTTTTTTCTGATTCTACACCTCAGTAAACACTTCAAAATTATATTTTCACTTTTTGTCATTCAATTATAGAAATGCCAAACAAAATCCCTCAAGGGAGCAATAAGTGATTAGCATGGCAGAAGAAATCCAGATCAATTACTTTCATCTTTTTCTATTCCATTAAAAACAAGAATTCTAAAAATACAAGCCCTTAGATATATAAATCATATCTGAAAATTTAAGTATTTTACAAGGAAGAACAAAAGTTTAGTTCTTAAAAGCAACTTTAAAAAGTAGTCAGAATGTAMGTTTTTAAAAAGTTACAAAAAAGAATGCTGTTAAAGTGTACTGAGTGTAATTCCATTTATAAAAAAATATGTCTAAAACAGGTAAATTAGGAGATAAAAATGGTTACCTAATTCTGGAGTGTGTATAGGAATAACCTCCAAAGGAATATGATGTTTTTTGGGTGTTGGAAATATTCTGCAACTGACTTGTGATGATGGTTATAGAACTGTATGAATTTAATAAAAAGGAATGAATTTTGCTATTCTATACTTAGGATGAGTGGACTTTATGGCATGTAAAAAAAATACCAGAAAAAAATAAACAGACTGAGAAGCCAGCAATGATGAGACTAGCACTTCCAAGTTTGAAAAAAATGTGTGATGGAATGGTGAAGAGAATCCATTACACCTTCCAAAATCTCTGAGAAGCATCTATCATTAAACACTTAGACCCATTTTTCCTTCAAATTGGAATGGTTTCTGCCAGATGAGTCACAGAAAGTACACGAAAAATGCACTATTTGCCCTCATTTTACCCTGGAGTGGGAGAAAAGGTAAGGGAATCAATTCTCATTGAGTAACTATTATGTGCCTGACAACAAAAGCTAAGTTCTTTCATTATCTCATTGTAACCTGATATCAATCCCATAAAGTAGGCATTATTTCATCCCATTTTACAGAACAGAAAAAGGTGGCTCAACTTAAGGATTTCAACCAAAACCACAGAGCAAAGAAGCAAGTGCCAGAATTGATATTTGTTTTTGGAAGATTTCCAGTTCCACACTCTATTACACCAGGCGTCCTCACAATGGCCTGAGACATGAAAAAACGGTTCCTCACAAAAAAGATTTAAGAAATGACTTTCTCAATAGAACCCCTAAAGTTCAGGAAGTAATATCATGAGTTAACAAGTGGAATGGCATCAAGTTAAAAAACTTATGCACAGTTAAAGAAATAATTAGGAATGTGAAGACAACCAACAGAAAGGCAGACAAACTTGCTATTCTTCTGACAGAGCATTATTATCTAGAATATATAAAAAAACTCAAAAAAATTTATACACACAAAAAAATCAAATAACCCAATTAATAAATAGGCAAATGAACTAAACAGACACTTCTCAAAAAAAAAAAAAAAGAAACACAAATGGCCAACAAACATAGGAGGAAATGATCAACATCATTAGCAATTGGGAAAATGCAAATCAAAACTACAGTAGAGATTTCATTTCACACCAGTCAGAATGACAGGTCATCAAGAATACAAATGAATAATCAATAATGAATACCGGAGAGGATGTGGACAAAAGGGAACACTTTTAAACTGTTGCTGGGGCTGTATATTGGTACAATAGCTATGGAGTACCAATATGGAGGTTCCTCAAAAGGCAAAAAATGGAACCATCACAGGACCCAGCTACACCACTCCTCAGCCCTTATCCTAGAGAATTAAGGTCATCATACTATGGTAATACATGCTTACCCATGTTTATAGCTGCACAAGTCACAACAGCCAAACTATGGTATCAGTCTAGGTGCCCATCAACGAATGGCCAGATTTAAAAAAAAAAAAAAAAAAAAATGTGGTATATACACATAATGGAGTTTTATTTCTTATTTCATAAAGAAAAACGAAATAAGTTTTTGTAGAAAAATGGATGGAACTCACAACCATTATGTTAAGTGAAAAAAGCCAAAGTGGGAAGGTCATGGGTTGTACGTTTTATCATATGTGGAAGGTCAAGAGGAAAAAGAAAAAGATGAGCATGGGGTGGGGGGCAGTGAACTTATGAAAATCAAAGAGAGAGGAGTAGAAGAAAGGGGAAAAAAGGGACCACTGGGTAGGAGGGAGAGAAAGGAGGAGGAAGTGCTGGGGAGTGATACTGTAWAAATTATATTGTTATACCAAGTGTGCATGTACGAATATGTAACAATAAAAGCCACCATTACATAAAACTATAATGCACCAATTTAAAAAAAATGAGAGAAAAAAATTTATAGTAAAAAAATTCAATAAAATAACAAATATATGAAATAAATACCTCAGTCTCACTTCTCAGATATGTGAATATTTTCTTCAACAAAATTTGCTTTCCTATAAACAATATGTTTTCTTGAAAATAATTCAACCAAACAAAAGCAAATTAAAATTGCCTTCTATGGTTATGCAACTTCCCAAAGAGATATTTACAAATCTATCCTAAGAACAATTAGTGGCAAGGGTAATGAACAATAGTGAACTATAAATTAACAAACCCTTTGGTTGGGCTGCTTTGTGTTTCTGACATAAAGATGCATTTCCTTTTGGCAGGAGGTTCTTCATCTTCATCAGAAGAGCTTTCTATTGTTAGGTCAATAACATCCACTTTCTTCTTGCTTGCCTCACTGGCTACAGTCACTGAACAAGGCTTACTGAGTACACTTGAAGCTGGATGCAGAAAAAGAGAAGGAAAATAAAAACATCAATGGTATAACACAAACTCTATCCGTGACAGTCTTAACTATATGRTAAAGGATGATAACACACAGCCAGGGAAGCTACATACTCTATCCAACTGAMGGAGTTCAGTTCCCTAACTCCAGATATCTGTGAAATAACTGCTAACCTGGAGAGGCAACATGAGCATTACTCTTTGACAGAGGTCAAAGAGGTAACTGGACTCCTGCTACTGCTCATGTGGTATTCCCAGGTAAGCAGTCATAGTACAGAGAGACTCAGAGGTTAGGAAACTGTACAAAGGATAAGAGTATATGTTTCACCAGTTGCATATTCACAGATTCGTGGCCCAGTTAAGTCAGAATCGGATATTTCCATTCAAGCAATCACGTTCATACTAAACAATTTATAGACTCATCATGAGCCAAAAACTTGATAAAAATTGTCAACTTGATAAGCAGAAAAAAATCCCAAACTTGTCCGAGTGATTTAGACATTTAAAATTTTCTTATGAATCCTCTATTAATCATCAAGGTTCTTTTGGCCCATTAGGATAGTCTAATACATTATATATCAACTCATTTTAATATAAAAGTATTATTCTTAAACTCTGTTTAGTAAAAAATGAATGTTAGTTTATAAAGGAAAAAGCAGCAGTAACTATCAATTAAATCACTCCCATTCTTCTCAAAGATAAGGGAAACCTTGGCCATTGCACTCTTCCAACTGCAGGGAAATAACTAATATTAGTAAAACTCCTTTAGTTTTTCTTCTCTTTTTACTCTGATGCAATCCCTGAATTCCACCTGAGGTTTTACCTACAGAAACTCTCAAACGAATTCTAAAAAACTGTATGTCATTTTCTAACTTTTCATTCTATAGCTAACATTTTATAATTATTAAAATTATTAGTGACTTATTTATTTTGCATATGAAAACTACACACAATGAAAAGATGGTATTAAACCTTCTGCATATTTCATAAGAAATTACATGTGATAGATGATCAAAAGATCAAACTTAGGGCTAGGTTGTAGCTCAGYAGTAGAACGCTTGCCTGGTATGTATGAGACACTGGGTTCAATTCTCAGGACTGCATATAAATAAATTAACAAAATAAAGGTATTGCGTCCATCTACAACTAAAATAAATAAATAATAAAAGATAAAACTTAGTGAACTGAAATCCAAAAATAGGTCTAGCAGTCAAGGTTCATTAAAAAGATAATGTTGTACAAATCTCCTGGCTTTGCTCTCTGATGGCATTGTGCACATACTTTCTATTTTTGTACATGGCTGGCTGGAAACTTTCATAGCTTCTTTCTTCGGTCTCATTGGACACCAAGAACCATCTTCTTGGAATTTTATTTCATCCACATCAGAACAGTCATTGAGAATTTCCATAAAAAGCCTGAAAATCAATTAAGAAGTACATACATGTCAATGGCTCTGTTCAAATATTAAGTAAATAGTATACAAAAGAAGCTCTGCCTATTAAAGATTTTGGATTTATAGTTAAAAATCTTATCAGTAAAACTCACAAACTTCTATCAGATTTATTTAAATTCACTCAACAAGAAAAAGTAATGTTTTCTGACTKTTTTWAAAAAATATTTCAATACTTAACACTTCATAGCAACTATATGCCCTCTTCCTCCAAGGACTGATTATTTACTTATTTTTTAAGTATTTGTTTATTAATTCATTTATTTTTAGGTTACTGGGGATTCAACCTAGAACCTCATCCTTGCTAGGCAAGTGTTCTACCACTGAGCTAATCATGAGCCAAGTTTTAGGTATGTAATAGGCAATGAGTATTGCCTAATGATCTAAAATATCAATGATCTAAAATATCAGTGACTAAAACAGAAATAGACATCTAGAGTCTCCTAGCTATAAGTGGCCTTAAAGAACAACCTCAAATATAGCTTATAAAACAAACATGAGTAGACAAAGGCTATTATACAATAAAATAATTTATAAGCTTTAATATCAAGAAAAAAGGAAACAGGTGAGAAGAGGAAGAAGGGCAATAAAGTCTTAATAAATTTCAAATAATTCAAAGCATACATTATTTTCTATAACTAAAATGGAAATAAAATTGAAGTCAGAATTAGAAAAATATCTGGAAAATTYTCAATATTTATAAACTAAATGCTCTGTAAGATATGAAAAATAAAAATAAAAATTGTAAAGTATTATGAACAGAATGAAAATACAATAAAATTTGTGAATTATAGCTACAGCAGTAATAAACAGAAAATAGCACTTATACCCCCCTTTTTAGAAATGGTTTCAGTCCAAAAACTTTATTTGATAAACAGAAAATTATAGTTAAGCAAAAATAAATATTCCAAAAGGGAAATAAAAAACAGAGATGAAATAAATAAAATAGAAAAAACAATGAAACCAAAGGCTGATTTTCTGAACAGATCAGTAAAACTCACAAACTTCTATCAGATTTATTTAAATTCACTCAACAAGAAATAGTAACCTCAGAAGCTCTGCCTATTAAAGAYTTTAGATTTGTAGTTAAAAATCTTATCACAAAGAAGATTCTAGACACAAAAGTAAGAAGCACAACTGTCTTGTAGAAAATCCAATGTAGGGGCTGGGCTTGTGGCTCAGTGGTAGAGTGTTTGTCTAGCATGCACGAGGCACAGGGTTCCATCCTCAGCACCACATAAATGCAAAATAAAGATATTGTATAACCACCTAAAACTTAAGAATAAATAYAAAAGAAAGAAAGAAAATCCAATGTAAACTTCAATAAAGTTCTTGGAACTATTGAGTTCAAGATATGAAAGCAATATAAAGAGGGCTAGGAATGTGGCTCAGGCGGTAGCGAGCTCGTCTGGCATGCGTGCGGCCCGGGTTCGATCCTCAGCACCACATACCAACAAAGATGTTGTGTCTGCCAAGAACTAAAAAATAAAAATATTAAAAATTCTCTCTCTCTCCTCTCTCACTAAAAAAAAAAGAAAGAAAAAAAAAGAAAGCAATATAAAGAAATCAATTATGTTTCTAATATTAGGAATAAATAGAATTAAAAAAAACAGAAGCCTGTGTCAACAATATAAAATATTTAGGGATAAATTTGATAAAAGATGTAGAAGATAGACTGAAAACTACATTACTGAAAAAATAGATCTATCACGTTCATGTATCAGAAGCCTCAATATTGTTGATCAGGACAATACAAATCAAAATCCCAGTTTTCCAAGAAAAAAAAAAAAGTTGGAAAATTCATACTACCTAATTTCCAGAGAGTATAGTACTAATACAAATATAGAAAAATAAATCAACAGAACAGAGTCCAAGATAGATTCACACACATATGATCAACTGATTTTTGGGGAAGACAATTAAATTAAAAAAAAAAACCTTATAAGAGGTTATGAGGGGCAAGGGGGAGGGGAAAAAAGGGGGAGAGAATTGAACAACAGCAGAGGAGATAGAGAGGGAAGATGGGAGGGGAGGGGAGGGGGGATAGTAGGGGAGAGGAAAGGTAGCAGAATACAACAGTCACTAATATGCCATTATGTAAAAATGTGAGTATGTAACAGATGTGATTCTGCAATCTGTATTTGGGGTAAAAATGGGAGTTCAAAACCCAATTGAGTCAAATGTATGAAAGATGATATATCATGAGCTCTGTAATGTTTTGAACAATCAATAAATAAAAAAAAAAAAAAACCTATGACGGGAGAACAATCATATGGCTATATGCCAAAAAGTAGTAATAATAAACCTCGATCTTTTTCTTAAATTCATGTAGATAGATCTAAATATAAAAGTAAGTTTAAAAATTCTTGAGAAAGCATTAGACAAAATTTTTGTGGCCTTCAGTTAGAGGGAAATGTGATATCAAAAGTATAATCCATAAAAGAAAAACTTGTTAAATTGGCCTTCCTAGAAGTTAAGAACTTCTGCTMTTTGATAGATACTGAAAAAATAGGTTAAAAAGATGAAAAAATGGTAGAAAATAGTTGCGAACAGATTTGCATCCAGAATTTATAAAGAATCATCAAAATATAGTAATATGAAAACAATTCAAAAAAATAGGCAAAATTAAAACAGTCACTTCAAGGAAAGTGTCAGATGGAGAATTAATACACAAATAGATCTCAACACAACTAGCAATAGAAAATGCAAATTAAATTCACAATGGGATACCACTATATATGGCTACAGGCTACAGCAAAAATCAAAGATTAGTCATACTAATGTTGGTGAGAATGTGAATCAACTACAATTCTCACATAGTGCTAATCAGAATATAAAATATGACAACCATTTTAGAAAACAGTTCAGCAATTTCTTAGACATATGCCTAGAATGCAACCAGGTATTTCATTCCTAAGCATTTATCCAAGATAAATGAAAATATTCATCTACACAAAGACTTGGGAATGAATATTCACAGATGCTGTATTTGCCATAACTCAAAACCAGAAACAACTCCAAAACATGTGAAAAGTTAAACTATGATATCCCTATACTACAAATGAAATGCAATTCAATGAACTATGTACTAAAGGTGAACTGTTGTCAGGCGTGGTAGTGCATGCTTGTRATCCCAAAGGCTGGGAGGCTGAGGTAAGAGGATTGAGTTCAAGGCCAGTCTTAGCAACTTGGTGAGGCCCTAAGCAAAAGAGCAAAACCTTCCCTGTAAATAAGATATAAAAAGGGACTGGGGATGTGGATCAGTGGTTAAGTGTCTCTGGGTTCAATTCCTGGTACCCACCCTCCCCAAATATCAACTGTTGGTAYGCACAGAAAAGTGGATGAATTTCAAATAAGTATGCTGAGTAAAAGAAGCTGAACAAAGGAAACTACTGTACAGAAACAGAAAGCATATCATGTCTGCCTGAGGACTGAATAAAAGGGAAAGATCACAAAGATATATAGTGTGATGGATATATTCATTATCTTAATTGGAGTGAAGAGTTTACATAAATATAGGTCAAAATTTAGCAAACTGTATATATTATATATATGTAGTTCTTATACCTCAATACAGCTGATATAAATGGGGGAGAAAAGAATGCCTCCTTCATGAGCCATTTATTTGCCTTAATCATACTGAACTATAAGAATGGAGTGATGATGCTGATAGTAACTACCACAAAAGTACAAGGAAGAGCTAACTGCTGTTCAATAAATGTCGAAACTATTAACAATGAGTGGCAGGATGGTAGGATACTTAACCCTAATAGCATCACCTACTCTCTACCATAAACTGCACTCTACCATAAAAGTTTCTTCCTGGCTGGGCACGGTGGCACAAGCCTGTAATCCTAATGGCTCAGGAGGCAAGAGTATTGCAAGCTCAAAGCCAGCCTCAGCAATGGCAAGGCACTAAGCAATTCAGTGAGACCCTGTTTTTAAATAAAAATACAATAATAGGACCGGGGATGTGACTCACTAGTTGAGTGTCCCTGAGTTCAATCCCTAGTACCCAAAAAAAGAAAAAAAAAAAAAAAAATCGGGGCTGGGAATGTGGCTCAGGCGGTAGCGCGCTCGTCTGGCATGCGTGCGGCCCGGGTTCGATCCTCAGCACCACATACCAACAAAGATGTTGTGTCCGCTGAGAACTAAGAAATAAATATTAAAAAAAAATTCTCTCTCTCTCCTCTCTCACTCTCTCTTTAAAAAAAAAAAAAAAAATATCATCTTCCCCATTCCAATATTCCTGACGCAGTACAGTTCTTTGTCTCCATAGCATTTAATATGCAACATCTACAGATAATAGGTATTTGGTAAATATGCTTAATAAATTCTTGAAGGAATACACAACAAAATGAAGAACTGCATGACTGAAAAACAATCATAAATGTATCTGATGAAAAACAAGTGAATGATTATTTAAAATCTCTAGGACTTCTTAAATGCATGAAGGACAGAAATTCAAAAGGAACATCCTTGATGAAACAAAAATGTGAAACTTCTAAATGAAAAATAATTATAATAAGTACAATTAAAAGGTAAACAGACTAGGAAAACACATTTGGCACATATAAACAATGAAATACTCTTACTATATAATGACCACTTAAAAATCAGTAAGAAAAAAGATGAACAGTCCTAGAAAAGAAAGGAAACCCTAGCAGGTTATTCACAAAAGATATTATAATGATCAACATATGGAATAAAAATAGGTATCTAATAATTCTAATAATATAAGATGTAGAAATCAAAACAATGAGACATGATTTTCAATCAGGAAATTGGTAGGCATTTTAAAAATAAGATTTAATATGTAAGACTGATAAGAGGGACTAAGAAGTAGGCGATATACCTGCTGGCAAGAGACTAAAATGATTTTACTACTAGTGTAAACAGCTTACTATTAGAGGCATCATAATAATGCTGTCTTAAAGCCATTCATTTTTTGAATCAAGATTTCTGTTTTAGAAATCTTAAGAACTCCATAAACATACACAAAATGTCACCTTCCAAAATGATTATATCAAAAGGCAATTTAAGGGCTGGGGATGTGGCTCAAGTGGTAGCGCGCTCGCCTGGCATGYGTGCGGCCCGGGTTYGATCCTCAGCACCACATACAAACAAAGATGTTGTGCCCGCCGAAAACTAAAAAATAAATATTAAAAAATTCTCAAAAAAAAAAAAAAGGGCAATTTAAAACAGAAAAGTAGAAACAAATAATATCCTAAAATATTAAAGTGCAAAAAGACAGGAACATGAAACTCTCAGATGGTTCAAAACAAATCTATAAATAGTAATAATTCTTTCTGTGTGTACCCATTCATGCAACACACCAAAAATGTATATATATACATATATATGAACGGAACGTGAAGAAACAATTGTAGCAGAAGGTTAACAACTGATGCATCTGGGTCAAATCTGATACTGGAGGTTGCACTACTGTTTCCACTTCTTTACTATTATCTTAAATTCTTTCAAAATAAGCTGAAATTATCACAAAAATATCCAGCAAAAAGGAAGTTTAGAGGGAAGGGTGAAAATCATTTTCTCTCACAAGTGCCCCATTATTCTCGAAAGTAAAACATTCTGAAAAGTTTTCACTATATACTGAGTGAAAATTATGTAAGTAAAGTAGGATTTAACTATTTCAATATAAATTACAAAGTCAACACCACAGGATGAGATTACTGGTTATTTTAATAACTTCATGAACTGTATTTTCTAAATCTTACAGTGGTACAWAGATGATGTATTATTTTTTTTAAAAGGTCATTCAAAAAAAAAGAATACTTCACTTATTCAAATTATTTCCTATAATTTTCCATATTCTGACATGCAATATAAGAAATAATGTTTAGAATTTGGGCTCCAGAATCAGAATAATCTGAGTGTGACTTTCAGTATGAATCTACCACCTCTGTGACTATCTATCCTGCCACTCTATGGTTTATTTCAAAGACCCTAATTGCTATTATAAGAGATTTTAGGTAAACAAAATGATTTCACTAAGCAGATTTCCCTCTTACCTACAGGCTTTTATAAAAAGATCTTGGGAGGCAAAGACAAAAGGAAACTGTATACCTACTTTCCCCAATACAAATTATATTACAGGTTTGGCATCCCTGATCAAAACTCTGAAACTATTCTGAGGACTAAAAGGACAATCAAAAACTTTCAGTTTTTGGAGCATTTTCGATTTGGGATATTTAGATTAGGAGTGCTCAACTGGAAAAATCTATCCAAGTATTTCAAAGTCTGAAATACTCTAAACTGTAAAACGCTTTGGTCTCAAGCATTTCAGTTAGTGGATACTCAACCTGTAAAAGGAAAACATAAAGAGAGGGGGCTTAGGGGTAGGAAAGATGGTGGAATGAGAGGGACATCATTACCCTAAGAACATGTATGAAGACACAAATGGTGTAAGTCTACTTTGTGTACAACCAGAGACATGAAAAATTGTGCTGTATATATGTACTATGAATTGAAATGCATTTTGCTGTCATRTATAACAAACTAGAACAAATAAATTAATTAAAAAAAACATAAAGCACCAATAACCTGCTTAAAAAGAAGCTATGTGTACTTAAATGTAAAATAGAAAATGCACAAACATCTGAATTTTATGCTAGAATAGAATTTATAAGGCCATACTAAAGGAAGCCACAGCCAATAGCTATTAAAAGAGATASAGTGAGCTGGGATATAGATCAGTGGTAGAGCTTGTGCATAGCATTCAAGAGGCCATAGGTTGGATCCCTAAGCACCAAAAAAGGGAGTACCAGCCAGGCCACAATGGCTTACACCTATAATCCCAGCAGCTTGGGAGGCTGAAGCAGGATTGTGAGGTCCTAAGCAACTTGGTGAGACTCTGACTCTAAATAAAAATACAAAATAGGGCTGGAGATATGGCTCAGTGGCTGAGTGCCCCTGAATTCAATCGCCAGTACCCTCTAAAATGGGAGGGCATATACTTACCCATCTAGTATTAGACTTTCATAGGCAGCTTTTTTGTCACACACAGGACAAATCCAGGTGGGCTTCTTCTCATTCATTTGTAGATAAAGGGCAGCATCAAAGCACTGTAGATGTGTACAAGTCACTGCACGGCATGGGATTGTCAGCCTCATTTTTCCTAACTATAGGACAGGGGATACAACATGGAAAGTAGTTCAAAAAAGAGGACAAAACCTCAAAGGGAACAGAGAAAAAAGTCTCAAGAAGCATCAAAATGAAATACAAACCTAAATTTATTAATATTAAATTACTATTTTTTTTTATTCACAAACTGCTTTGTGGTTTTTGAAAAACCATTTCACTTTTTCAAAATAAGCAATGTATAAATGCACCGGTAGAAAAAGATACAATGAAAACAATACTTCTCAACTGGTCCTCAGTTTTCCTATTTAAGGAAACCACTGTATCCATTTCTTACATGTTTTTTCATAGATGTCCTATGCATAAAATAAGTGGATATTTAAGGAAAGTATTTTTCCACAAATGGTGCCATATTTTACACCCACTTCTGCAACTTACCCTGTTCACATAATTTAGTGACTATTATACACAAGTCAGTATATATAAAACTACCATTACACAAAGGCATAATTTATTTAATAAGTACACTAGTGATGGACATTTAAATTGTTTCCAATCTTTGTAGTGAGAAAAGCTAAGTACTTAGGAATTAAATTTTGAGGTCAAAGGGAAAGGAAAGGACTGGGGATACAGCTCAGTTGATAGAGTGCTTGCCTCACATGCACAAAGGCCCTGGGTTCAATCCTCTGCACAACCAAAAAAGGGGGGGGGGGGAGAACATGTATGAATGTATGATCTCAGTCCCAATGACAAACCACCTTCCACAGAGATACCTACTCACTTATGCACACATTAAATGTTCACGTAACCTTGCCAATACAGTGTTTTGTAATTCTTTGATTTTTATGAATTAAGAAATATTCCAAGAGTGTGAACTGCATTTCTGTTAATTATAAGACGTTGTAGAGCCTCCTATTCTATTTCTAAGAGTCACCTGTGTTTCTAATAACCATTTATTCGTATAAAACCTTTCCTCATTTTTCATTTGGTCATTAATATTGATCATATATTTGTAGGATTTATTTACATGAGACAGATCAGCCTTGTATGTTTGATATAAGCTAAGCATACTTTTTATGAAAGTTTAACTATTATATAATCATGTCAATTTTCAATGTACTTTTCTATAATTACATTTKGTTCAACTGCTATTGCAATTGGTTTAGCTCTACTGCACCAACATATATATAATACTCAGATGAGATCAGATTATATTTTTCTATGTAACTCTTAATCTCCCCATATATTTTCTTTACCAAAAGTATCTCCATTTTTAGTCAGCTCTGGTAATTTGATTCAAAGTGTTTCTCCCACTATAGAGCTCCTACAAGGCCAAGGCCTACATCTGTTGCCCACTGTAATTTCACTGTCCAAGCACAATACTACCTCATAGTAAGTGCTCAGTATTTGCTTATCAGGCAGTAGAATGAATAATTGGAAAGTGGCAAAGAGATATTAAAAAAAAAAAACTTCTTTATACGCACTACAAAGTTTGAAAAAATTCAGAAACAAAATCAGAACATTCTTAATATTGCTTGGGTGGTAGAATTTTTAGAATATTCCCACCTTTCTACTTCATCTATAATTATCTAAGTGTTCATAAATTTTGTAATTTAAAAATGAAACAATTAGCTAAATCAACATGGCAATAACTAATGCTTACAAAACTTGCCTATGTGCAAGTTACTTTTCACTAACTCCAATAACACTTTTACTTACTATCATTTATTTATGTACTGGGGATTGAATCCAGGGCTTCACACATGCTAGGGAACTCTACCACATCCCCAATGAGCTACATCCCCAATGCTTCTTTCTTCCCTTCAGTTTTATTTTGAGACAGGATCTAAGTTGCTTAGGTTGGCCTTGAATGTACAATCACCCTGCTTCTGTGTAGTTGTTTACAAGTGTGCGCCAGCCACACTTTTACATTTAAACAATCATACCTTTTACATCTTTAAATATAAAACATTCCCCATTTTATTAATGAGAAAAAACAAAGGCACAAGGAATCAATTTAATATTACATGAAGTTAGAAATAAGGCAGAGCTAAGATCTGGGCTTGTTACAAGACATCCTTGTTAACYGTGCTATACTGCCTCTAGCTATTCATCTAACTAGAATTCTAAAAGGAATCTTAGAAGTTAAATGTTTAAGCAAGCATGCAGTACACTATAACTCATCATTGAGAAAAGAAAACAGAATAAAACCTGAGGAAACTTCTCCTCTTACTCTACATACTTCCATATTTTTTCTTCTTTTAAAACAGATCATTCCTTAAGTTACCTAGAATCTTACAATATGCTAAGAGTTTTTATAGAAACCTCCTATAATACTCATAATCCTATGACCCAGAGAAGTTGGCATCTATATTTTTAATTTGTGTCGAAGATGCAGATGCTCAAGAAGCTAAAATAACTTACCTGCTGAGACACAGCTGATATTACAACACAAATCCTAATGCTCCTCACTGTCTTGAAATGTCCCTAGCTTTATAACATTACACATGTTTGGGGGTTTAACCATCAATTTTTCCTATTTTGCTAAGCTTTTGATGTATTAGAAATAGATGCTAACTATCTGACATTCTATGAGATGATCATGGGCTTTTAAAAAAAATTCCTTTCAATTATAAGATGAATAGTTTTAACAGATTTTTTCTAAACCCAAACTATCTCTGCATTCCTAGTAGACATCTTTTGTTATCACTTATTATTTAAATAGTATTAGCATAAATATTTTATTTAGGAATTTTCAATCAATTCTTAAATAAAATATTTAGGAATCAATATAAGCAAATAGTCACCAGAACAGGTTGAATAAGTTACACTACCCCATTCAACAAAATGCCTATAATGATCTATACATACTAACGTATTTAGGATATACTATTAATTTTAAAATAGCTCAATTGGTAGAGTACTTATCTTCCATGCACAAGACCCTGGGTTCAATCCCCAGCAACACCACCACCAAAAAAAAAAAAAAAAGACAAGCCGCACAGTATATATAAAACATTTTTTTTCTAACATGCATATGATTATGAACACAAGAGCTAAATCTAGAAAAAAAAAATCACATTCCATCAGTAATATTACTTCAAATAGTAGACCTTGACCATTTAAATTTTCCATTTCTTTACTCTTCCTGTCCCAATTAAATAATTCTATAATTTAAGAATCTCAAGAGGTAAAAAATCAAATCCATCTTTCTTATCCCCCAGCGACCCAGCACACCTACTCTGCAGGACACACTGAAAATCACTAGCTGATATCACAAGGTAAAACTCCCATATAAAAGTCACATATTATTTCCACAAATAAAATTATACATGCTCAATCAGATCCCTCTTCAATAATACTGTGAAACTACCTCCTGCAGGTCCCTAGGACAGAGGTCTTGAGACTTGTTCCCATTTCCCAGACTCACATCTACTCTAAATAATTTCACAAGCTTCTTATGAAATGAAACAAACATTTCTTCCATCACTCTGAGCTATCATTTTCTCTTGTTTTCCCAAATAAACCCAGGGTTCACTCTTTATCCTTCTGAGTAACTAAGACCTTTTTTTTCCTTCTTTATTTCCCATTACTGTACCAAATCCCATGTTATTTCCATAGTTTGCTGGCTGGGACTCCATTCTGCTTTCTCTAACTGATGCTAGAACTGCTTCTTCTTCAAAAACTACTTTAATCTGCTAACATCTGTCAGTTAACTACCCATTAAATCTTACCAAGACATCTGCATTAGATTTTGATTTATACCATATATTACAGTTTAACTACCCAATCTATTTTAATATCACTATGGTCTAAAGAGTACTATCTACTCTTATAAAGCTCTTGAGAACATCAAGAAAGATAAATTCTGAGGAAATGTAGCTCAGAAATAGACCTGTTGTCACTTATAAACAGAGAAAAGGAAACATTTTATTTTTATTTTTTATTTTTTTTAAGAGAGAGAAAGAAATTTTAATATTTATTTTTTAGTTTTCAGCGGGCACAACATCTTTGTTTGTTTGTATGTGGTGCTGAGGATCGAACCCGGGCCATACGCATGCCAGGCGAGCGCGCTACCACTTGAGCCACATCCCCAGCCCAAAAGGAAACATTTAATGAATACAGGATGGGGCCATGGGTGTAGGTCAGAGTACATGCTTACCATGAGTGAAGGCTTGTGTTCAATCTCCAGCACCACAAAAATAAATAAAATGCTATATGATTTGACTTCTTCAAATAATTGAAAATTTTCTTAAAATTGTCAACTTTATTTAAAATGAACTGCTCCCTATTTTTATATAAAAAGAATACTAACAACTCTTATATACTACTTCTGCTATTATTAAAAGTCTGAGAATCCTTCAGTATGTTTGCCATTGTGTTTTGGTTGTTCTTATGTAGAATGGGCAGTCTGTTTATAGGAGGGTTAAGGTTCTAAGAAAATAAGACTTATTAGAGAAAATAGCATTGTAACACTGTAGAACTCCTTAGGGAAACTGTATAGCAGTACTTACTTTCTGGTAAAATAGCTTGATACACTAAAACATATAGGTTATATATGAGTTCCCTCTCCATACCATGACTGAACTCCTAGAGAGTCTGCAATTAATGCCTGCTAAATATAGTGGGGTCATTAAAAACCATTTAAAAAACTGTCAAAATGCAACTATTTTTAACCAAAAAACAGTAATTTCATTTGTTTTAATCTGGTATCAATTTTAATATTAGAAGGAACAAAAAGGTAATGTGGAAATTCTTAAACCCATGTCAGAAGCTTGTGTMAAGCTTATAAAAAGAGGAAGCTAGGGTCCAAGCCACTGTCCACTAGAACCTCTGCCACTACCTCAGGTATCATCCTCCTTTGCTGGGAGTGCACAACTTCTGAGTTTGATAGCCACAGAGGGTACCAATTTCTCATCAATCCCCATTTCACTAAATTCTACATTTTTTCAATAAAAGGAAATTATTTTAAATTAATGATGATAATAAAATTTCAGGAAAGAAGACAACTGCAAATATCATTTTCCAGGTTAACAGAAGGTACATTTATAATTAGGACATGTATATTTTAGCCCAATTTGRCAGCAGTTATTGGAAATAAAACTAGAATAACATTCAAAATTTTTATTTTTGTTCTACTACTAAATATGTGATTTGGGTTGACCAGCCTGTATCTGTCTTGGTTTTCTCATCTACAAAATCACTGAAACTGAGTTGGGGATGTAGCTCAGTGGCAGAGTGCTTGCTTAACATGTGTGAGGCCTTGGGTTCAATTTCCCCACCACCACATACACAAACACACACACACACAGTCAGGACAACTATTCAATATAGGCTTGCTAAAACAGTTAAATAAGAAGCACCAAGTAGGATCTCACTTTTGACACAACTTAATGTCCATTAAAAAAAAAAAAAAAAAAAAAAACACATACTTTTCTCACAATGGTGGGGAGTCATCAAATGTCCCCAAAACTACATTATAGATTCCTTATTCTATAAATTTTATCCTAAAATCTTATTGAAAGGATTTTCTTCCACTAACTTTATAGAGAAACCTTCATCCACCATCCCTGTCCTTTCCCATCTCCTCATATCTGATAAATACAATCTGATGTTTTATCACTGGAGTTGGTTTTATCTCTCAAACTAGTATTAACTTTCCAACAACTCATGGCAAGTCCTCAGCACTTTCATGCTGAATTAGTTCAGTTGGAAACTCATGGGAGGATCTTGGGATCGTTGAGTGATTTCTCACCTAAATTTCTACATGAGGATACACAAAATTATGTAATTCAAAGTACCTTACAAAGATATCTAACTTAATAATCCAAGATCATCAATTAGCATTTATTAGGCCCTTGTTATTTTATTAGTATTTTTTTAATACCACGTGTATTCTCACAAAAGCAGCCACCTTTTACGACATTTTTTTTTGTTGTTTGTTGTAGTTTTAGATAGATACCATCCCTTTATTTTATTTTGCTTATTTTGTTAGGTGGTGCTAAGGATCAAGCATAGTACCTCACATGTAAATGCTCTGCCACTGAGTCCCASCCCTACTATAAGTTTTTTAGCAGCTATGGATTGTCTAYAGTATTAACCATGACAGATTATTCTGAGTCTAATGTTATCTTTCTTCTTTGATATAATGGCCTTTAAATTTCTCCTCTATCACTACCTGAAGACTTACAAAGAATTATAATTAGATTTCCAAATGGTAAAAAATGGAAGTTCAGACTTCTATCAAATTACATCATTCATACCCACAATTATTTTACAAGAAAATTAATCATTTCTACAAAGTAAAATTACATAGAATGTTTTGCCAGTTTACTTACAGGGCACATTAAGGATACCCGAAGACTAGTTGTAGCAATTTCACTATCTGGATCTGCAGTAAGTTTTTCTTTAACTAAAAAAAAAAGAAAAAGAAAAAGAAGAGTGAAATACAATGAAAAGTTTCTAAATAATAGTGAAAATGAGCTGAAATATAAAAATATTTTACTTTAATAATTTCCCAAACACTTCAAATAGGTCAAGAAACACAAAATGTTAAATATTAATGTATTAAATATATAGCCAGACTTCTGGTATTAAGTTAAAGAATTACAAACATGCAAACTTTAAATCAAATGTTTAAGTGAGGTTTTAAGATTTCTTTTTAAACTAAGACTGATGGTAAAGAAGAGTTACAAAATAGAAAGTTGTTTTTTAAGACTTAAGAACAAAACAACTACTAGCAGAGGAACCTCAAATGTAGCAGTACCCTGAGCGTCAATGCTTTTCTAACAATTTTTTTTTATTTCTTTCTAACAAATTTGTATTAAGCTACACTGATTATTTCTAACAATTACTAAATTTGTAAAGACATAAACAGTCTTATATCTTCTTGTTGAAAAACCTCTACAATGAAAATTAAAGAACACTGAATAAAGAAACTGAAACAGACCTCAGAAGATGAAAAGACCTCCCATGTTCATTGATAGGCAGAGTTAATAGTTGGCCCTACTACCAAAAGCAGTGTAGAAATTCAATGCAATCCCCACCAAACTACCAATAAAATGCTTCACTGTACTAGAAAAAACAGTTCTAAAATTTGGAATAAAACCCAGAATAACAAAGCAACTCTAAGCCAAAAAAGCAATGCTGGAATCATCCCAATACCTATTTCAAATTATTCTACAGAGCTATAATAACAAAAACTGCATGGGACTRGCATAAAAACAGACACAGACTCCCAATTGTACAGAATAAAAGACAGAGACAAACACACCCATTTACAGTCAACTGATCTTTGACAAAAGTGCCAAAAATATACAGTGGGGTTGGGAGAAACAAATGATGCTCAGAAAACTAGTTCTATCCATATGCAGAAGAATAAAGATAGACCCTTATCTCTCACCCTACACAAAAGTCAACTCAAAAGGAAACAAAGACCTAAGAAACCAGAAATTATGCAGCTTCTAGAAGAAAATGTAGGGTCAACATGCCAGCTTTTAGGCATAAGCAATGACTTTCTCAATAGGATCTGTAAAGCTCAGGAAATAATGCTAAGAGTTAACAAATGGGATGGCATCAAATTAAAAAGCTTCTGCACAGCCACACACGGGGGTACACGCCTATAATCCCTGCAGTTTAGAAGGCTGAGGGAGGAAGATTTCAAGTTCAAAGCCAGCCTCAGCAAAAGCTGAGGTGCTAAGCAACTCAGAGAGACCCTGTCTCTAAATAAAATACAAAGTAGGTCTGGGGATGTGGTTCAGTGGTTGAGTGCCCCCCGAGTTCAACAACCCCTAGCACATAAACACCCCAATGAAAAAGCTTCTGCATAGCAAAGGAAACAATTAGGAAGAGAGAACCTACAGAATGAGAGAAAATCTTGCCACTCTTCTGAGAGAGCATTAACAGCTAAAAAATATAAAGAATAACCTCAAAATCAAATAACCCAATTAATTAATGGGCTAATGAGTAGACACTTCTCAAAAGAAATACAAATGGCCAACAAATGTATGAAATGTTCAACATCATTAGTAATTAGGGAAATGCAAATAAAAACTACAGAGGTTCAATCTCACACAAGTCAGAATGGCAGTCATCAAGAATACAAATAATAATAAATGCTGGAGAAGATGTGGAGAAAAAGACTTTACACTGTTGGTGGGACTGTAAATTGGTACAACCACTATAAAGCACCCGTTCCTCAAAAGGCTAAGAATGGACCCACCATAGGACCCAGCTATACCATTTCTCAGCGTTTATCCTGAAGAATTAAAGTCATCACACTATAGTGATACATGATTACCCATGTTTATAGCTGCACAAGTCACAACAGTCAAACTATGGAACCAGCCTAGGTGGCCATCAATGAATGGACACATAAAGAAAATGTGGTATATACACATAACAAAGTTTTATTCAGCCATAAAGAAAAATGAAATATGTCATTTACAGGAAAAAGGATAGAACTTGAGACCATTGTACTATGCAAAACAAGTCAAAATCAGAAGGTCAAGGGTCATTATGTTTTCTCCTATGTGGAAGCTAGAGAAAAAAGGAAAAGGTGGCAGGGATTCTCAAAAAATCCTAGGGAGATGAGTAGAGGAAAAGGACTAGAGTGTGGGAGAATGGGCGGGAAGAGGGAAGTGCTAGGGAGTGATACTGGCCAAATTGTTATRTTGTGTGCATGTATGAATATGTAACAACAAATCCCATTATTATGTACAACTATTATGTTCCAATAATAAATATGGAAAAAACTATCTCATCTGACAACCGAAAATTATTATCTGAGGTAACATGTTTGATTTCTTCCATGAGGTAATATATACAATTTACCATATATAAGCTAATAAAAACACAAATATTATAAATATAGATGCATATGTGAGTTTATTGTTTTTAATCACATTACAGTATCTCATATGCTTGGTCTTTCACAAGCATTACTTACTTAGTGCTCTGGAATGATCAGGGTTTCTAATACCTTTCATTTTTAATCTCTGTAGTAACATGGCTGATGTAAGCTGTCGTACAAGATACACAGACATGGAGTAATTCTACAAAGAAAGATAATCTGTATTATGGACTAGAGATGATATTCTCTTTATTTACATAAAATGCTTATCTAAGAAACTCTGGTTTCTAAAAATAACATTCAAAATAACTTCTAAAAAAAAGTCAGTTACTGGGAAGAGGGCAAAATCAACAAGGCTACTTGAGGGAAAATAATGGCTCACTCATTCTAAATATATTTCTCTTATCACTTTATAATATCCATGGGTTGGTATGGTATGGTAAATAGCTTCAATTTAGTGGTTACAAACTGTTTACAGAGATCACTATGCAAATGTACCTTCCCATAATTACTTACAATTAGAATCCTTTTGTTTTCTTCTACTTATATAATGAGGCTCTCATATTTTCATTTAAAAATGCAGAAGCAAAGAGGTATGAATTAACACTTCACACCCAGAGTTCCAAAGTTTTATTTCTAACAAGAGAAACCACTGGTCAAATGGCCTTGAGCACAGCCCTCAGATAAAGTTAGTATTGGCTTTCTTCTGAGAAAAGCAGTCATTTACAAAAGACACATGAAAAAATAATGAAATTCAAAAGGTGAGGCCAGAAAATAATAGTATAAATCTGTCACAAAGCAACTTTCTCAATTATCTATACAGCTTTGAAAGATGACATATAATTTTACCAAATGTTCAAAAATTCTACTTTAATATTTTAACACATACACACATGTTCATTCATTCCACAATAAACAAAATACTTTTGATAGTTGCCAAACCAAATATTTTAAATACATTTAGTGTTCTTTTAAATATCTAATACTATGCAAATTTTAGGTCCTTSTATCATTTTAACTACAAAGAACGAATATCAATCCCATTATATGGCAAATCTATAGTCTTCAATGTCAATAATAATTTATTCAAAATCCTAAAGTTATTTCCAGTTCTGCAACTACTCTAGTGGTGAAATAAAATTCCTGCTATAAACATATGCCTCAACTTTTTCATCCACAACAAAATATTACACTGTATTTCCATGAAACAGGAACTAAAGTTGATACTCAGATATTAAATCTTTTTCCATTATTTGTTAACAAGTGCTTCTAAAATGTATATTCCCTGTTGTATTAGTCAGTATCTTATTGATATAATTCATTTTGAGACAAAATCAGCAGAAAGCCAGGTTCATCCACCTGAAGGTGTAGAGAAAATAATTTTATGGTTGTGTTATCTGAACAATTAGCTGTTTATGTAAAGGCAGGAACAGATTATTTCTGATCACATGAGTACAATTCAACTGTTTCCTCCAAAGACTGATAACATTCTGTCCTTTGCTCCTCTTCATAGATACTAATCATCCAAAACTTCCAGGTTTTTAAAATACACTACAAGCACACACACACACACTCACACTCACACAGTGTTTAAATCATTACCTTAAGGAATATAAACATAGACATTTCTTACCCAGAAAACAGACATGATACTTAAGAAACCTCAGAGTTAAAGGTATTAACCTTCAAAATATCTATACTTACAACCCTTGAATTGAAAAGGGGTGGAGCCAGTTTAGCCTAAGAAAAAACAAAAAACACCAACTTCAGTGGACAAGAGAATATTTACCTTTCCAATTTCAGATGCCCAAGAAATAGAAATCTGGTTTGGCACAGCTGAAGACAACCTAACTAAAGATGTAATATTCAAGGGGCGTCCAGGGCGCTTCTGCTCAATCCCATTTTTCGGTGGTGGTGCGTACCCCTGTAACCATAAGAAATTAAGACATTAAACATTTTACCCAAAATAGATGCAGGATACTGTCTAATTTCAGTTATAATCACATGATCCAGAAAAATACAAGAAATAATAAAAATCAATGTTTCCTCATTAACATTAAAGAGGCTAACATCTTGCCATTTTGGCTATGAATCTTCTTCCCCTTTACAAGAAACCAAATTTCACGGATGAAATCCCATCTCTTCAAAATGAGTCACTTAGGAGACCCCATTCAAAATATTTTAACACACTGGGGTGGAAAACAGGGAGAACAAACTTTGGAAACTTAAATCAGGTCAAGTGCACACCTGTGATCCCAGCTACTTGAGAGGCTGAGGCAAGAAGATCATCAAGTTGTCGCCCTGTGCAAGCGACTTTAACCCATCTCAAAAATAAAAAGGGCTGGACATGTAAATCAGTAGTATGGCAAACATAAGGCCCTGGGTTGAATCCCCAGCACCACAAAATCAAAAACAGAGGAAAAAAGGAAGAAGAAAAAAAAACAAAACATCAAGCCAATGAAAAAAATTCATCASTATTTCAGTTGGCATTAGATTTTCTTTTAAATAGTAAATATACTCATTTTTCTTGTGTTTTAATGGCAATAGAAGCTGAACCTAGGGGTGCTCTATCACTAAGTTATATCCCCTGAGGTGTAAGCAACATGAAAAACAGTATTAAGAGACTGCTTTATCTCTTTAGCTCTTGTTCACATATAAGAATATCATTTGGAAAAACTTTTAATTTTGGAATAGGGTCTAAGTTTYGGAGGCTGGCCTCAAACTTGTGATCCTCCTGCCTCAGCCTCCTGAGTAGCTAGATATAGAGGCATACACCACCATGTCTGGTAACATAATCACCTTTTTTAACCTTTATTTGTTTATTTATTTATTTCTATGTGGTGCTGAGGATTGAACTCACTGCCTCACATTTGCTAGGCAAGTGCTCTACCACTGATCCATAACCCTAGCCCCACATAATCACTTTTGATTAACAGTATACTCAATTTTTAATTACCAAAAGAATTCAAAGGTTATGATTTTCAGGTTATATACTTTCAAATACATATTAAAGAAAATCAAAATTTCTYAGCTTCAGTAACATCTGTTTATTGAAAAGTAGGCATTATATTTCACTAATGGTCTGATATCTTTCATGTAATTTAATTATCTACTATTGAGAAGGAAAAAACACTAAGTTAGTGTATCACTTATTTTTGTACACATAGAAGAAAATATAAGCAAAATTAATTGACTAATATTATTTTAGGATACAGGTGAATCTTCTGATTCATATTTTTTTTAATATTTTTTAGTTGCAGATGGACACAATACCTTTCTTTTTGGTACTGGGGATTGAACTCAGGGGTACTCAACCACTGAGCCACATCCCCAAGGATTTTAATTTGTATTTGTTTAGAGACAGGGTCTCACTGAGTTGCTTAGCACCTCTCTGTTGCTGAGGCTGGCTTTGAACTCTCGAGCCTCCTGCCTCAGCCTCTTGAGCCTCTGGGATAATAGGCATACGCCACTACATCCGGCTATTTATTTTGTATGTGATGCTGAGGATTGAACCCAGTGCCTCATCCATGTTACGCAAGTGCTCTATCACTTAGCCACAARCCCAGCCCCCCTGCTCAATTTTCAAAGTCATCAATGCATGTTTTTCCAAATGATATTCTTATATGTGAACAAGAGCTGTAGAGATAAAGCAATCTCTTACTACTGTTTTTCATGTTGCTAACACCTCAGATTTCCTTGCAAGTCAATCATATCATTAACTACATGAGTCAATACTAATGCAATATGGATCTTATGAGAATGGTGATGAAAGGTTTTCAGAYAACAGCCAGAATTCATTCTCCTTCATAAAATGTCCTTAAAGTACCTGTTGATTGAAAAGCTAAGGGCATGCAGCTAATCAATCATACTAGAGAAATACTATCAAAGTTGTAAAAGTAAAGGCAGCGACAAAAACGTCACAGCTGCCACATCAGCAGCCACAAAACATTTATTATTTCAGCAACATTGAATTATATACCTTACAAGGAATTCTATACTGGTGGTATTATAGAGCAGAACTAAGGAACACATCCAAGTTGTCTACTACAACTTAGGAACATCCTTCCTCATTGTCTCATAAGAGGAAGAATAGTAATTATTAAGTGGGAAGGAATCTACATGCTAAGTCTTACTCTTCAACTTGCAATCAAATTCTGAAAATCATTAAAACTGATTGAGTAGTTRGGCACAGTTGGCTCACAACTGTGATCACAGTGACTCAAGAGGCTAAGGTAGGAGGATTATAAGTTCAAGGCCAGATTCAGCAACTTTCCAAAGTCCTACCTCAAAATTAAAAAATGAAAAGGGCTAGAGATGTGGCTCTGTGGGTAAGAGCCCCAAAGTTCAATCCCCAGTACTTAAACAAAAACAAAAACTGAGGAACAGAGTAAAAAGGCAAAGAAAAAAACTTAAGTGTGAGTGTGCGTGTATAGGAGGGGTGCACACATCTAAATTTGCTCATGTGAAATACAACAGAAAAAAAGCTTATTAAAAAGTCCTCTTACAAGCCAGGCACAGTGGTGCATGCCTGTAATCCCAGAGGCTCAGGAGACTGAGACTGGAGGATGGAGAGTTTAAAGCCTGTCTTAGCATCAGGGAGGCGCTAAGCAACTCAGTGAGACCCTGTCTCTAAATAATACAAAATAGGGCTGGGAATGTGGCTCAGTGGTTGARTGCCCCTAAGTTCAATCCCCAGAACMAAAAAAAAAAAAAAAAAGTCCTCTTACAATATGTCAAAATACATCTACTGTCAAGTGTAACTAATAATCAGAATTTTTAAAAATAAATTTCAAAAAGTCCTCTTGTAAAAATTCTAAGAATTTTTGAGTCATATCTTGACAGCACAGAATGGAACAGTAACAGTGGGTCAAACAACAGTGAATTTAAGAATGAGTGCTAAGCAAATTCAAAATTATGTATGGAACTAGTCTTAATTGCCGAAGGTATATTCAGTCTATTCTCTACCTATTTGAGAAGTTTGATTTCAATAGTAATTATGGGTCATCAATCTGTATTCTCCTTCTAGCCCATAGCAACCTCCTACYTATCCAAGCATCCAAGACCCCATTATAGTTGAAACTTTGTAAAATATTAATGTTCAGCCTTCTCAAATTTTTAACAACTTTCCATGTTTAAAGCAAAAATAAAATCAAGTTCATTTCACAGGTGATCTGAAGAGCAAATCCACAAGTTTTCTCAATAAAGGCTGTTAGAGAACATTGGTAGAAGACTATGTGGATCTCAGCCTCACACTTTTAGGAAAAGAAACTCAAAAGAACTTTTCATGTTACATGCTGCGACAACAACAATTGTGACAAACTCCACAATSCTGTTCCTTTATCATCACCTCCTAAATTCTAATCACCACTATTATTTTAATACTATCAACATCTATTTGCTTATTTAGTTTATATTTTGGAAATTTTCAAACATACACAAAAGCAGAGAGAACAATAAGTACCCACTAACCAGCTCCAATAATTACTAACATTTTTCAATCTTGTTACTTTTGTCTCCAGCCTCATTCCAGCTTGCCCCAAAACACACCCACCATATACATGCACAATAATTTTTGTCCTTGAGTAAACACAAATTCTAGACATACCAGTTAATTTTCATATTATTAATCAGTGTGTCTAAGAAGACCTTTAAAAAACACAGTATTGCAAACTTAAAAAATTCACAAGTTTCAAAAAAATCATCTAATATCTTGTTTCTATTCCAATTTCCCAGCTGCCTCAAAGACACACAAAAACAAAGAAAAGAACGGGGCATGGTGGTGCACACCTGTAATCCCACTAGCTCAGGAGACTGAGGCAGGAGGATTGGGAATTCAAAGCCAGCCTCAGCAACTTAGCAAGGCACTAAGCAATTCAGTGAGACCCTGTCTCTAAATAAAATATAAAAATGGGCTGGGGATGTCACTCAGTAGTTAAGTGTTCCTGGGTTCAATCCCAGATACAAAACAACAACAACAACAACAAAAAAAAAAAAAAACAGAAAGAGGGAAATCCATAAACTCAGAATTTATTAGGAAAAGGAGGTCACTACTGCACTAAGAGGAACTGGAGATTTTTGCCAACTGAGTTAAAGCACGTATCTTCTCCATTCTTTGGAATCTCTCTAAGAAATACTCCTCCCTGTCAGTCTTTCCCCATTCAACCTTCCAGTTCCACAGGTTTCATAGAAATTTCTTATAATTTCTTTAAAACTAATAATAAGTCAACTACTCAAAATAACTCCCTAAGCCTTTTTCTGCCMGCCCCTACCCTGCAAAAAAACAAAACAAAACAAAAAAATAGACTTTTGATCTAGCTCTCAGTCTGCACACCGGCAGTCCTTCGAGTCAAAGATGAGGGCAGTGTCTAAGGCAACTATTTATCTTTGCAAGCTGCAGGCCATCACCGTGCAAACCCCACTATGAGCTGCATACTTCTTCCCTGCATCAAGAGAAWCTTCTCCTTCGGATTATCCAAATTATATTTCCCATTCCATTTACTGTGCATATGCAATATAGTGGCCAAATGCCATGGGTTTATAATAACCAGACATTATAATAAGGTGATTCAGCATACGACAAACATGTTTGGCGCTCTTGTGGGAAATTCCATGACCATGTCAACCTTATCCCTCTGGGATCTGTTATTAAACAAACCAGGGTCAGGGGCAAGGACTACATACATGTTAAGCTTCTTTGTGGCTTGCTCATGGTTCTTACAATTGGAACAAGGTCCCTGAGACTCAAAAGTTCAATGTCACTCCTATACATTCCCTGTAGCTTTCTTCTTTTGAGGCTGCAGCATATTCACATAATTCTCATAAACCTCACAATCTTGTTTTGTGTTCTTAATGAATTTCATTACCTTAATGAATAGGATGTGTGGATTAAGAAGTAATTTTAAGACGTTTTCCATCAATTGCATGTGAATTTATGTCAGTTGTTCCATGGGAGTTCATGGGTCTGTGCCAAAAAGCCTTTTCAGGGAAAGGCTGGAATAGGATTTTCTTTGGCATGGCCCTAGCTGGGTCAAGCAGGGCTTCCTCACTCCCTTTAAATTTTAAAAATGTCTCTGCCGTTCTCCCATCGCTCAATTTCTTCTTCTTCACAAGTACCCCTAACTCCTAGGATAAGTACCAAATTCATCAGACAAAGGATGCTTTAAATAGTAGTCAATGTATTCACAAATAGCCTAGGATAAGCACTCAGGGTTAATTGGTGCTTTGGGACAGAAGTCAGCAATAACTAACAATGTAAAGAGGAAATAATCAGCTGCCTAATATTCTCTCTCTCAAAAGGACTGTAAGAGTGACAAATTCAGAGCTACAGTGGTGAGGATCTCAGCCATGAGGATTATCATCCTCATATATGTTACTGACTAGTCTATCTGGAAATTTTATGGGCTTGTGTGTATACACATATGCAGCCTCCATATTTTCTAAAGCAATGCCAAAGAGTTTAAACAAAACATCACATATTTCAGACACAGCATCACTGGCACGTCCAACCTGGCTTTGAATATATATGGGACCATGTAAGCAATTGTTCCTRAGCATATCTACTCATCCTCTTTCCCCCCTTTTTACCCCCATAGRACCATCCCAACTGATTTCAGTCTTATAGGCATCTTCACAAAGAGTTTGTGATGCAGTGGTCTTCAAGCTCTGTAAAACTCCTGGAACAAGTATTTCTCAAGTTTTCTAAATCCACTGTCTATGAATGAGACACATTCCTAACAAGAAAAGTCAGATTCCTTTAGCTACTGGGGTCAACCTGAGCCATGGACTATCTTAAGTTGGGAGCTCAATTTTAAGGGCTTAGCTGCTCATAGGTATTATTCATATACTTACTCTAGAGCCAAGTCTCATGCTCAGCAGGAATGCTAAACAGCTTCCCATTCATTCCTCAAGAGCTGCAATGGTGTCTGATCTGTTGAAATGGCACCTCAGCAAAATGGGGCGGGGGGAGGGGGTCTGTTCTCAGAATACTTCAGTTAGAGCAAACACTTTGTAGGGCTTAACAAAGAGATCATACCTTTTTTTTTTTTTTTTTAATGCTTTTGTTGGCCTTCTGTACAACTGACAAATTTAATAATATACTTCAGGCCTCAGTGCAAAATACAAAACAGTTCACCAATTTAAATATTATTTTTAAGACTTGATTAAGGATTTGAAGATTCCAAAACTATCTATTAGGTCAGGAACAGGATGCATACATTTTACAATGTATATATTCCAGCTAAGTCCATATGCTGCTTCCCTGTTAAACAACAGGTTGTCAAATATCATTGCATTCCCCTAACCCTCTGGTGTGTACATCAAGTTCCAGGCTTGGAACTCTATACCTCTTGGGCTAGCTGCTCTCAAAAAGACCCTGCATCCCACCACATGTCCACTGGCTAGTCTCAGCTAATCCATATAGCCACCATAACACGATGTCCTATATATTTAAGTGCCCAAGTCCTGTTGTTTAATATGATCCCAAGAGTCTTTCAGAGCTTCCTAAAATTCTAAAATAACAAGTTCCAGGCTCATTTTTTTTTCCATCTCTCCAAGAGTCATTTACTTCTCTAAGGAGCTATGGATCACTCAAAGACAAAACAATATTTAATCTAGATGCTAGAACTAACTATTAATTGGTACATAGCTATCACTGTTTCTAGACCTTCTCAGTGTTTACATTAAATTTACATGAAAATCTTATGAATAAAAAGCAACTTACAGGCAAAGGAAACAGCTTCCCATTTACTTTTATACATAGACTATTGGGATAGTTGTCTTCTTGAGGACAACTTGTCTCTGCCAGGCAAAGTCTGCATTTAAAAAAAAAGAAGAAGAAGAAACCTCTCATAAATAATGAATCCAAACATGTTTATATGTTTTAAAATTTAGGGTCACATACACAAAGGTAACAAGTGTAAACTTATAGTTAGAAAATTTCAAACTCACCTCAGCTGAACTTGGACTGTATAATCTCTCCTACCACCTGGCAAAAAATCCCTGTTGGAAAGAGAAATAGAATAGGTTAAGAATATAGAATAAGATTCCACAGGAACACTATCACCRGGGGGAAAAAAGTATTATTCATTTTTATTCTTACTTGTTAAAACATGAAATCTAGCCTGCCAACCGTATAAACCTTAATTAAAACACTCTGATGATAACGCTCATTGACTTTTAGTCATGTCTTTTCAGCAATTTTAAGGTATTTTCAATTCATAGGAACTCTGACAATACAGTACTTACTTCAAGAGACAACAAATTTGTTAACATGAAAAGAAATATGCTAGGTTCTGAAAAAAAATTAACAAATTAATCTGTACTTAGCAGTTCTCCACTCTAAGACTCTAATCATGTGAAGATCTTGCTTGTTTAACATAAAAGTCCATTCACTAGATATTCTTACGATTTGAGTATAGTCTCTCATTACATTTTACAGCTACCCAAGTTATTCTAATATAGAACTAATGCTTGCAGTATCAACTTCTCTATACAATAGCAACTTCATAATTAGTATTCAAATTAATACACATAACCTCTTGCACTTTCTAGATGAGAAACAGAGTTCTATATAAAACACCTCTGGCACSGAACCCTCTAAACCCTTGCCATTCAAAATGGAGTCCACAGCAAAGTAGCACTAGTATCTTTAGGAGCTTGTTAGAAATGCAGACTCTCTGTCCCCATCCCAGATGTATGGAATTTGAATCTGCATTTTAACAAGATCACCTGGGGATACACCTTGTAGTTAACAAGGTATCCTTAGCCATTATCCTAAATCTTGCACTCTGTCAGAGAAAAGATCATTAACAGTAGTACCTAAAGTAGTACATTTTACCCTCACTTTATTCTAACTGAGAYAGTCTGTTCATTGTTTCCAACTCTCTACCTTGATGGAAGGCAGTAAAGCACAGCATGAGCTTTATGGTCCTGAGCTAAAGGACCTTGGGCAATTACTTAACCTTTCTGAGTTTTGGTTTCTGTATTTGTTAAAGACAGAAAACTACTGCTTCTACCACATTAAGTTGTTGTGATGATTAAACATGTTAACACAAGAGCTGTGCTCAATAAGTGTGAGCAGCTGGGTACCAGTGTTTCCTCTCCTCCCACTGTCTTCCTTGCCACTAAAAGGCTCCACTGTTCTCAAGTGTCTCTTCAAAACATTCCCATATCCTAGACAATACTGACCTCTTCTGAGCAACTCATATTATTCCACTCATTCAAATCAAGAAACATTTCAGTCTGGGCACTGGGGGCGTCAGAGATAAATAAAACACAGTATTTGCTTCAAAGGACTCATGACAGTAGGTAATATAACAAAACAAAAGTGTGATAATTGCTATAGCAATGTGGAAACTTAATTTTTGTCTTGAAAGTTCAAGGCAGTTATCAGAAGACCAATCAAACAGGGTTTGTACAACAGTGGTTCTGCCTATTTCTATTTAGTGACCCCACTTGTGTTGTGATTCTCAATAGAAAAGTGAGGATCAATTAGAAATGCCTTAAATATCTTGTTAGGTTGGGGAACATAATCTGAAAACAAGAGAAATGACAGGAGATGAGCCAAGAAAAGTAGAAAGCCTATTCAGAATATAAGTTGCTAGAGAAAACTAATGGGAGATAAAATGATTAAAAAAAAAAAAAAAAAAAGTTGGGCAGAGCAAAATGTAAAGAGCTGCCAGGCAATGAAGTGTGGACTTGATGAAGCAGCACTACCAGGTTTTTGAGTACCAAAGAGAAAAAAACAGAACAGGCTTTAGAAAGATCACATGATCCGCTAGGAACCAAAGTTAGGAGACCATTTCAATTGTATAGGCAAAAGAAGAGAACTTGAAAGCTATTTAAACACAAATACTGCTGAGATACTTCAGCAYAAAGTATTCAGTAGACCTCAAAGCCTGACTAAACACAGGAAGTAAATGAGAGAAGAGGCATTTTGGGGTGGGTGCTCAGGTTTTGGAATAGTGCAACGGGATAGTTGTTGATGCTACTCATTGGGATAAGGAGAAGTAGAGCAAGTTATAGCACCAGTCTTCAAAAGACCCATTGAGGTGGTGAGGTTACTCCAGTTTTACATATTGGATAGATAAGAATGAATGAGGTTTAGTCACTAGTCCAGCAGCATATAGATTTAGGTGGTTAAGCCAAAATTCACTTTTTTTTTTTGTTACTGGAGACTGAACCCAATGATACTTTACCACCGAGCTTTACCCCCAGACGGGTGTGTGTGTGTGTGTGTGTGTGTGTGTGTGAGAGAGAGAGAGAGAGAGACTGACTCTCATTAAGTTGCCCAGGGCTGTGCTAAATTGCTGAGGCTGGCTCTGAACTTGTGATCCTCCTGACTCAGGCTCCCAAATCAGGGATTACAGGCATGCACCAGTGCATTGGGCCAAGATTCACTTTCTAGTTGGTATTACTCTAAAAATTCTACTAGCTTCTTCTAAAGTAAAGTTCCATGGTTAAGTTATAACTCTGGAAAGTGATGGAGAAGAATCAATACAGTGTTATCAAAGTAATGGGAGATGGTCTATGAACAGTGGGATAATACCAAGAGGCCTTGTGTCCTGACAGATCCCAATGCTATCAATGAATGGGGACTACAGCAGGAAATACATCAAACAAAAATGTCCTTGAAGCCAATTTATTTTTCAAGTTTGTGTCACTGATATATGGAGTACAATCTGGACTACAGCAGAAAGTCAATAAATATGTGCTGCATTAAAGGAACAAAAGACAAGCAAGTCTGAAAAGTAGGCAAGTTTAATTTTAGATGTGCTGTGTTTGATGTGCTTGTGGGTCATTAAAGTAGGCTCAATGAGAAAGGACACTGGAGAGAGATAGCGGTGATTTTCAACTTCCAATATAAAAATAACAAAAGCACATACAAAGAAACTGACAGAGTATCAAGAAGAGAATCACAAATTGATTTCTGAGAATGAGCAGGAAAAGTCAATGGGAAGACCTAGGGAAGAATGATTAGAAATGTGGTAGTACCAAATGGAAGTCCTGAAGTCAAGAAGAGAGCTGAGGCCACTCACTGATGGATCTTTACATGATATAATACAAAGGGAGGAGGGGAAGAGGGAAAAAAGGGAGGGAGGCAAGAAGGGAGGGAGACAAGGAAGGAGGCAGGCAAGGAGGGAGGGAGGGAGGGAGGGAGGGAGGGAGGGAAGGAAGGAAGGAAGGAAGGAAGGAAGGAAGGAAGGAAGGAAGGAAGGAAGCAAGCTAGCTGAACCTGAATATATTCACATCTTTATACTAGACCTTATTATCTCTACAGGCAAACGAGAAGAGTCAGACACACAGCAGTGGTTTTCAAATTTGCTCACAGGAAACGCCCAGAGAGCTTTAACGATCCCTGTTTTTGGGATATAGGTATAATTCAATAATAAAGCACATATACAGTATGCATGTGTATGGGTTTGATCTCCAGCACCACAAAAACCACTGTCTATCCTAGGAGATTCTAATTTAACTGATATGGGATGAATCCTGGGTATCTGGCATGGATTGGATTTTCTTAAAGCTCCCCAGTTGACTCTAATATGCAGCAAGTTTGAGAACCATAGGGATAGGCATGGTTAAATGTTACCACAAGAAGCAAGCATGCAAATGAAACTTTTTTGTTGTTGTTGTTTGAAAAGCAGAAACTGTGATAATTATAATTATGAGGGGAACCATGGCTGTGGAGAAGTGATCAATTCCCAATTCCAGGGGGAACACAAAACCAGAAGATAAGCCTGGAGTATCTTGGATGTCAGAAAGCATAAAGGTGCTTAAAAGTGGATCTGGGAGGGAGAGAAACATTAAAAGGGCATTAAAGCCAATTTGAAAGAACTACCAACAGCCAAAGGTAGAACAATTGAACCACAATATAAATCCCTATGGCACTGAGTTAAATCCATGGAACACTATGAAACCACACTGATATGAATTCCTACATACATAAATAAGGGAGAAGGGACAGTTCTTTCCTACAAAAGAAAAGCTCCAATGTAGAAAAGAATAAGGATAATAGAAAATCATCACTGAAACACATGACTATTTTGCTGAAGACAAGATTCACAAATGAATAATGAACTAGAGCAAAAGTCTGAGAAGCAACAGTATATGCCTACTCTCAAAGTATCTCCAAGGTAGTTATTAATAAGAAACTCAATAACTACAGTGCAAAAATCTGGTACACAGTACCTTAACCAAACAACCAAAGTTAGTATCACCAAAAATAAAACAGATCAATATTATGTAGTCCCTGGAATGAAACACCAAGAAGGGAATATAACTTGAGATATTATCAAAAATGCAAAAATTTCAGCAGTAACAAAATAAAAGACATACCGAAACTGAGGGCAGTCAACAAAATTGCCTGACCAGTACTCTTCAAAAGTATCAGAAGTCAAAAAGACAAGGAAAAACTAAGAAACTTACTAAGTAAAAAAAGAAATTAAGGGCTGGGGATGTGGCTAAAGCGGTAGCACGCTTGCCTGGCATGCGCGCGGCCCGGGTTCAATCCTCAGCACCACATACAAACAAAGATGTTGTGTCCGCTGAAAACTAAAAAAAAATAAACATTAAAAAAAATTCTCTCTCTCTAAAAAAAAAAGAAAGAAATTAAGATGATATCACAATTAAATGTAATTTAAAATGAGATCTAGAAACAGAGTTCATTAGTTGAAAAATAAGCAAAATCTGAAGTCTACAGTTTAGTTAATATTATTGTATCAACATTAAAGTCAAAAGTAATATATGCACCTTGTTTGAAAACTAAAACAATTGAGCAAATATGAATATGGACTGGGTATTATCTGTATTAAGGAATTATTAATTTCAGTGATTATGTTCAAAATTAGAGCTGAATCTTGAAATATTTTTGGATTAAATTATATAATGCCTGTGATCTGCTTTAAATGCTTCAGGAAATAAAGGAAGGAGAGAGTCAGATATAGACAGCCAAAACATTGATAATTATTAAAGCTTGGTAATAGGCAGCAAACTTCACTTCCATTTATTATACGGAATTTTTTTTTTTTTTTTTTTTTGCAGTGGGGGTTGGAAACTGGAGATTTATCCCAGGGGGCAATTTAACACTGAGCTACATYCCAAAGCCTTTATTTTTTCTATTTTGAGACAGTTTCACTAAGTTACCGAGGCTGGCCTTGAACTTGCAATCCTCCTGCCTCAGTCTTCAGAATCCTGAAATTATAGGCAGCACTAAGGGGATTTTTACCAATTTACTATGTAGCTCTGAAAAGGTTAGGCTTTGTAATTTACATGTGATGCATGTGGTCTTTATCTTTTGAGGGGGGATTGTAAACAGCCACTACTTTTTAAAAAATTTTTATATTAGGGTTAAATATACAATAAAAAAATAATTTTTCGATTATAATCATTCTTAAGAGTGCAGGTCTGGTGGGCTGGGGTTGTGGCTCAGCCACAGAGTGTTCGCCTAGCACATGCAAGGCCCTGGGTTCAAACCTCAGCATCACATATAAATAAATAAATAAAAGGTGTTGTGTCCAACTACAACTAAAAAATTWWAAAAAAAAAAGTGCAGGTCTGTGGCAGTAAGTACATTCATATTGGGCAACTATCACCACCATCTATCTACAGAACATGATTAATACTTTCAGTTTAAAATTAGTCATTCATGGGTTGATGTTGTGGCTCGGTGGTAGGGCGCTCACCTAGCATGTGCAAGGCCCTGGGTTCGATCCTCAGCCACCACATAAGAATAAATAAATAAAATAAAGGTATTGTGTCCAACTACAACTAAAAAATAAGTATTAAAAAAAAAAACAAAATTGGTCATCCATTTCTTATTAGTTAACATATTCACATAATCCAAACACCAAATGTATACAAGAAAGATATAAAGAGTCCCCATAATTCTGCTCCCAGCTATCTAGTTCCCTTCTCCAGAAGCAGCTAGAGTTTTAAGTGATATGTTTACTTACATATTTATGTACTTAAAGCAAATTCTCCCACACATTTAGAATAGCACAGTTTGCAAGTATTCCTCACTTCATTTGCTTAAAAAATTTCCTTGAAGTATGAACCTCTAAATCCCTTACTCTAATCTCCTTTATTCAAAGCCAACCAACATCTTAGTCAAGTTTTCCCAGACTGTTACCACAGGTAACAGTTATCTTCTCCCTCCTATAAATCAGCTCATATGTCATTACTAAACAGGTTCTTTTCATATGACACCTTGCATCAAACACTTTATGAAAATGAGCTGATTTGCACTAAACTTGGTAGAAAAGGATCATGTCATATAAAACATCTTATATCTAATGAACACTTAACAAACACTGCTCCTAAGTAAGAGCTTATCAAAAGAAAACAAAATTAAGAACTAATGATATAAAATATGATTTTGGTCTATTTTGTTAGTTGATTTATTAAATGTCCCCTAAGATCCCTACAAGTTACCCTTTCTATGTGTGCACTACTCTTTGGGACCTCAAACTTTCCAGGAACAGATWATAAAATCATTGAGAATTTTGTTGAGACACATAATTTTAATAAAAATGATATAATTAGTTAAAGAATCTAAAGTTGTGTCCCAGAGTCTTCTACGTAACAACAGTCCATTTTCAAGATACTTCGTATTTAAGAGTTTAACATCCATAAATCTGAATCCACCACCTAGGGAGACTTAATATGCAGCTTACAGATTAAAGATGGCAACATTCGGCTATAAAAAACTTATAAAATTATGTTAAATATAGACTTTCCCCCCAAAGTTAGTAAACTATAGCACCTTATATCAAGAAGTTATTATTAACACCAAAAAATTATATATATATATATATATTTTTCCATTTTAACAGCTTGAAAATTGTAAAAGATAACTTTAGACTTCTCTCCTGTATCTTCTCAACTGTTTTTTCCTTATATTTGCCCTTTTCCTTTCCTATTTAGCAAGATTTGACCTTCCATTTCAGGATCTTTTTGCGGTCTTTGTCCAGTTTTAGTCTGGTGATAATGACCATGCTGGGGTGAATGCCCACATGGACAGCTCTTGTGCCATTAGACTTTTCCCATCGCCACATTCAATGCACATGACAAGTTTGTTCCTATGAATCCAAACTACTTTGCCAATCTGCTAGCCTTTACAGTGTCCTCACACAACCTGAACTTCATTATCCCTTTGATTGCACATAGATCAAAAGTTGTGCTTGTGCTTCTGCCTCTGCTCTCAGGAAGGAGGGAAGAACATAATCATCCGATGAACATGGGAAGAGGCATTAAGACACCTTGAACAAAGGGTTGAACTTCATTTTGGCCGCTTCTGCTTCAGCAATGGCTACAAATAAGAATGGCTACACATGGCTTCCAGTTTTCAAGATGAATATGTTTAATTTGAAAAGTTTACTCTACAAATTACCTTCTCTTTCCTTTTATATCTCTTAGTTCATTTACTCTTTACAAATGTGTACTTTTAAGATTCTATTTTCCAAAATAGGCAAGGGTATCAGTACTTTTCTAATTGCTTTTAGATTTCAAGTAATTTTTTGGTCAGTATTTTTTTTAGCTTACTTTGCTYTAAACTTTAAGGTTTTTGTTTTTATTGAAAAATAAATATTAATTATGCTCACTTTACTTTAAAAAATGCTTCAGTTTGATATTATAAAGTTGATGGTCATCCTACCTTTGGGCTTTTATCACAAATTTTTATGTTTAATATTTGGAAAATATTTTTCATTTAAAAAATTGCTGTGYGATTAGGGGTGTAGTTCAGTGGTGAGATGCTTGCCTATATGTAAAAGGCACTGTGTCTGATTCCCAGCACTGAAAAAAACAGGAAAAACATGTGTTGCCAAATGTGACTTAAACAATTTAAAAGATAGTGAGGTTTCAATTCAAAAGTTAAAATTGTTTCTAATATAGAGTATTTATTAAATATTTGACTAATTTTCAAAGTATACTCCCCTTGCTTAAAAGAGAAATAGTCCAACAATTATGAACTGGACAGTATACCCACAAAATTGTCATGCTGAAGCCCTACCAATGTGAGCATTTGAAGACAAGATTTTTCAAAAGAGGCAATTAAGGTTAAATGAAGTCTTAAGGGTGGGTCCCTAAACAGGGCTGGTATTAAAAGGAAAAGACTCCAGGCATATTCCTGGTACAAAGAAAAGGTCATGTAAGGAGATACAGCAAAATGGGTAAGCTAAAATGAAAGGCCTTAGAAGAAACCAAACCTGTCAACACCTTGCTCTTGAGCAGAAGCCTCCAGAATTCTGAGAAACAAATTTCTGCTATTTAAGCCAACCTCTCTGTGCAGCCCTTTGTTATGGCAGCCCTAAAAGACCAATATACAACATTCAAGGAGAAACATACTCCATGCATTCCTCTTACCTTGATATGCATATCTCTCTAACTTGTTGAGGTGTCAAAGCAAAAATAAAAAACTTCTCTTGAAATCGCTGAATACTGCTTTGAACTGGGGAAAAAGAAAGAATATTTCAATAACAAATCAAAGGATGTCAGCACCTGTAATAACCTGCAAACTTCTGAAATTTTGAAATGAAAATTATAAGTAATCAAGAATTTAGTGACCAAGAAATTACTAAACTGTACTGATCTTAGAATTTTGAGTGAAGTCACTTCAACTTGGTTTTAATTATTTTAAGCACTTAATCTTTATTCTAAAACACAAATTGTAATATACTATTAAAAATAACAAAATCCTTTAAGATTACATTTCATCCTTCCAATAGTACCATCTAATAAAAGTCTCAGGAAGTAAACTGTCCCCTGGGGGAACTCTATCTAAGTGTATTTTGTATTTCTTTGTTGTGCTTTGTATTCAGTGCTTTATATTTAGTATCTCTGAAAAATTTAAATCTCACAACTTCATAGTTATGTAATAATTATGTAYTAATTATTTGCTTACAATTTATCTACTGAATTCATTCTTCTTAATTCTCATATAAAAAGCTGAAGTGTATTTATGACTTCACAAAGTTCTGCAACAGGTTTTTTAAATGTTTTACTGGTACATTATAATTATACATACTAGTTGGATTTATGACATATTTGTGTAACAGATTAATAGTGATGAATTATCCATTGATATTCTAGTACCTATTAAAACAAAACAAATTTAAAAAGCTATTACAGAAATTTTAAGTCTTCTGCTTCCCAACAAGTATTGATTACAGTACAACCTAAAAATGGGCAAACAGCCCCTTGTGTATATCTGACCAAAATTTTCCTAGWAGATGAGAATAAATAAGATGCCAATTGAATATTCAACGTCAGAGGGCTTAACTATAAGTCATATTAACCTAAGAAAAATATAAACTGAGACAAAGCATAAGCAATATGCTATAGCAATTAAGCTCCCTAGATATCATCATAAAGTGATTGGTATTTTCTCAGATTACTCTTTTAAAAAGTGGGGAAAAACGGATGCTATTTATGTTGAAGGCCTAAAAATGAAAAAATTTTAGGCTATCTCACAATTATGGGGCATAAAACACAAAGACACAAGCACAATCTTTTAAGTCTCTTCATTTCTTAAATTCTTACTTCATCCTTTCTTTCTTGTATGAATCCCAACTTTTCACTCTTACTCTTGGCTAAGATGACCAATGACCTCTTTTAGTTGTAAAATTCAATAACTTATTTTGAGATTACAAGTGAGCATACACTGCATTTCCTATCTTAGTTCATGGCCTGAGCACCCAGTCTCTCCAGCCAGAAACCTCAAAAGATCTACACACAAATGAAACATTTAGAAAGCAAAAATGGAAGACTGAACAACAAACAAACAAAACACTTGGAGAATTAAAGAATAATTCATAATTTTGAAGGAGGAAAATGACTTGATTTCAAATCAAACCCCAAGCAAAATAATAAAAACAAAACTACCTAGTCACATCACAAAAATCAAACTACTAAAAATCAATGACCATAAAATCTTAAAAACAGGCAAAGAACAAGAACATTCCATAAATAACAGCTATTTCTCATCAGAAGGAATGCAAGACACAAGACATCTCTAAAGTGGTGAAAAGAGCCTGGCGTGGTGGCACAYGTCTGTAATCCCAACAGCTCAGGAGGCTGAGGCAGKAGGATCCGCAAGTTCAAGGCCAGTCTGAGCAACTGAGCGAGGCCCTAAATAATTTAGCAAGACCTTTATCTTAAAGTAAAAATAAAAAGAGCTGGGAATGTAGCTMGATGATCCCTCTGGGTTTAATCCCCAGTTCCCCAAAAAACTAAAACAAAGTGGTAAAAGGAAACAACAAAAATTCAGTATCTTTCCAAAACAGAGTGAAATAACTTGTAAGGTAAACAAAAGCTATAAGAATTTGTTGTTAGCTGGGCGCGTTGGCGCACCCCTGTAATCCCAACGGCTTGGTAGACTGAGAAAGGAGAATAAGGAGGCACTAGGCAACTCAGTGAGACCCTGTCTCTAAATAAAACACAAAATAGGGCTGGGGATGTGGCTCAGCAGTTGAGTGCTCTGGAGTTCAATTCCTGGTACAAACCCTCTAAAAATTAAAAAAGATATTGTAACTATTTAAAGCAAAAGTAATGGCATTATAGACATAAAAATATAACAATAGCAAAAAAATAATAATAAGTACATATCTACACCTGCAACATCCTCAGTGAATTCCCCATGATATATGCTGGTAGTTGAGGCCCCATCTGGATAACTACAGTTAACCTACCCAAAAAAATTCCCACAAATCAAGAAACTTAACATTTGAAATCATAATGTTTTCAGTCAGCATATGACACATACACATACAACTTGTTAACCTTCAACTTAATGTGAATAGTTTATATCAGAACAGACATTATCTTTATTGTGCCTTTCAATAAAATATGCATTTTATCTATCATTTTTATCTTATTTTTTATCTATCATTTCTTTGCTACCAAATTTTCAATCCAGATTATTACCTCATGGTCTATGAAAAAAATGGATCTATTTCTTCACTATACATCTATCATAACTGGACTCCAGGAATTTACAACAACAAAAAATAGTGCATGTGAATAAAATCTGATTTGTATTGATGCTGACAATTTTTAGATTTCATGACAAAATAGCAGCCAAAAGCATGCTAAACTTACCATAAGGTAAATCTATGAACTGAATTGCAATTGTAATACAGATCATGAGAAAGAAAAGCAGAATATAAAGTAGAGCATGCATGATATACAATTCTATTTATTTTCTATTTTCTAAACTTTGAGATCAGGAAAATCAATTCTGTAAGATCCCATGAATGGTTTTATTTTTTTTCTCACATTTTTAATTTGTTCTTTTTAGATATACATGACAGTACAGTTATAACAGTACAGTTATTTTGACATATTGTACATACATGGAGTATAACTTCCCATTCTTGTGGTTGTACGTGATGTGGTGTGTTATACTGATTGTATATTTATAAACGAACATAGGAAAATTATGTCCAATTCATTCTACTGTCTTTCCTATTCTCATTCCCCATCCCTTCCCTTCATTCCTCTTTGTTTAATCCAATGAACTTCTTGAATGCTTTTAATTAAAAACAGGGGGATCCCAGCAGCTTCTGAGGCTGAGGCTCAGGAGGATTGCAAGTTCAAAGCCAGCCTCAGCAATTTACAGAGGCCCTTAGCAACCCAGAGAGACCTGTTTATAAATAAAATACAAAAAAGGGCTGGAGATGAAGCTCAGTGGTTAAGCACCACTGGGTTCAATCCCCAGTACCAAAAACCAAAACAAAACAAAAAAAACCCACAGAGGGAAAAACCATCATAACTCAAGGATTCGAATTAAATATAGCTTGTTCAAATCCTTTCCTTTTTCAATAACCTGTCATAATGTAGATTTTATTTTCCTAATATAGCCACAACAATATTTCCCGTCACGCAGCCCTTAAACCTTTTCTTCCAATTTAACAGGTTTTAAATCTGTTCTTTTGTCTAGATAATATATACCTAAACTTAAAAAGGATTCATATTAAATTATCTTTAAAAATTAAAATTGAAGAGAAAAAGACTGCCTCTGAGAGTAAATGAGAAATAGCTACTTAAGGGAGAAAAACAGAGAAAAGATTTTTGTTAGTTTGCTTTTTGATTAGAAAATTAAACATTTCTCTTTTTTTAAGTACATTTTTTAGTTGTAGTTGGACACAATACCTTCATTTTATTTATTTATTTTTATGTAGTGCTGAGGATCAAACCCAGCGCCTTGCATGTGCTAAGCGAGTGCTCTGCCAATGAGCCACAACCCCAGCCCCTTAAACATTTCTTAATAGCAAAACTGGCTACAAAAAACTTTAATATACTAGACACCCATGTTTTCTAGATACCACAATTCATCATTTTAAATGCCAGGTTATTTAATTTTACTATTTTGAACATATATCACTCCAAACTGCAAAACTATATAATAATGTATATTCTTAAAGAGAATATACTTGTATTTTGTTGTTGTTGCCGTTTTATTTTTTTAAGACAGGGTTTTGCTAAGTTGGCCACTGATAAGCACAGCACCTTAATTGATATACCAAAATAACAAAAACAAAGATGGCACAGTAGTGCACGTCTGTAATTCCAGCAACTTGAGWGCCTAAAGCAGGAGGATTGTAAGTTTGAGGCCAGTCTGGGAAGCTTAGCTTACCCCATCTCAAAAAAAATAAAAAATAAAAAGGGTCGGAGATATGGCTCAATGTAGAGCACCTGTGTAGCATGCATGAGCCCTGCGCTCAACTCCTGGTACCACAAAACAACAAAATCCTAGTAAGGAACTAATTCTCTGTGTATAAATCAAGTCTGTACAGCCTGGCCTGAGAATGTCAAGAATACAAGTTTTCTGCAGGAGGCCCTGGGATCAACAACCAGCACTGCAAAAGAAGGAGTATGTGATTTGAAACGTGCACCTGAGAATCTTTCTTGACTTGATTCTCATTCCCAAATGTCAACAAGTCATTTCATACCAATGTTTAAATATTTTCATAAGTATTTTCAAAACTACAAAACCAAACTATTAAAAATTAAGGAAACTTCTGAATTTACGTTAACTGCTGCAGAAATTATAACACCACTAAAAATATTCAATTAAATGTTATTAGAAACATTAGAAAATTTTTCAATTTTTCTTTGGCAAATTATGAACCCATTTCATGTTATTATAATGAAATACCTGAAATTAACTTACAAAGAAAAAAGATTTATCCTGGCTCAGTTTTGAAGGCTCTAGTCCACAAATCATAGGCCCCATTGTTTTGGGTCTGGGGGTTGGGGGGAGACTGGAAGTGAGAGTAAAAGTACTCACCTCATGGCCAGAAAAGAAAACAGGAAGAGGATGGCAAGAGTCTTGGAATCCCCTTCTGGGGCATGACCCACTATGACCTAAGGACCCAGCTCCCAAAGGTCCATAATACCATCTTGAGGAACAATCCTTCAGCACATGAACACTACCAAGGATGAGGGGGTGGGGGGTGGGGGTGGGGGTGGGGGTGGTGTTTGCTGCCCATATTCAAACCATGACACAAACCACATGGTATTTTACTGACATTTTAACTGTCTACCTCAAAGTCTAAATAATAATTTTTTTAAACCCTTGAGACAGGGTCTCACCATATTGCCCAGGTTGGTCTGGAACTCATGTTCAGGTGATCCTCCCACGTACCTGGGCWCATAGGTGTGCACCACCAAACCCAACTTAAGAGAAAATTGCTCATTTTTTTATCAATCTGACATAGATATTATAATTAAGAGAATCCCTTCAATGTCTCTTTAGGGAAGATAAGGTAAGAAAATAATGCTGGGTAGGAATTATAAAAAAACATACAGGTTTTGGTTTTGGGGGGGCAGGAGGTTGTGTGTGTGCATTTCTTGCATCCTTAGTTTAACTATAAGCAAAATGTAGAGTATTCTTAGCCACTCTTCAACACAAAATATCCCAGCCATTGTTTTACATAAGCCAAACAAAAAAGTTATCTATATGCCCCAAATGCATGTTTTATTAAATTTATACAGTCTACTACTTTCCTTTAACCTTACTGAGGTTAACTAAAGAGAAATTCTATAATATAAGAAGTTATTTTAAATTCCTATTTCTATTTCTGAACAATGCCAAAAAATAAAGAAATGCATGAGGTCTTTCCAGAGTTCACCTCTTAGAACACCATTACTGCTATTAGAGAAAAGACACTGCTGCATCTTCTTTTATCCCCCAGTCTTCTTTCCAGACAATCATATATGTTTCTAAAATACCTTCTATTGTAACCACTACCAAGAAACCCTGCATACTACTACTAAAAGGGGAAAAAGCACATTGGCAGTTTTAAGTTTTCAAATGATTTAAAACTAAAAAGTTATCCCAGGATAGAAAACAATCTTCCAAATTAATCATAAAATGCTTTTTCCCAGTTAATGTCATCAATAAGTCCAATGACTACATAAATAATTTCATTATGCACTAAAATTATGCTCTGGAAACATAGAAGTCAATAAGCTGGAAAAATTGTTAGTCATGTGTAGCAACTTTCAGAACTATGATAAAATTCCTCAAATTTTCTGAGCAGTTATTGACATTAGACTTGTGTCAAACTCCGTGTGTTACTTTGGGAAAAAAATTAATTATGAAAAAGGTATTTTAGGAAAGCAGCTTAAAACTAAACAAACTTGGTTTTTTGAAAACATATCAAAACATAAAATCACAGACATGAGATCTACATCTGTTCTCATTTACACAGAACAATGACTCCTAAGCTATAAGAAGAATATATGAGGAAATTCTAGCCAGAGAAATTAGGCAAGAAAAAGAAATGAAAATTTGGAAAGAAGCAAAATGATCTCTGTTCACTGATATTATCTTTTATTTAGTAAACCCACACACATTTTTAAAAAGCTACAAGAATAAATAAATACAGAAAAGTAGCAATATACAAAGTCCACACACAAATCAGTTACATTGCTATATTCTAACAATGAGCAATATGAAAGGAAAGTTATGAAAAAAATCCATTTATATTTGCATTAGAAAAAATACTTCATAATACTACAGAGGTGAAAGACTTACATGACAAAAAGCACAAACCATGCTGAAACTAAAGGTAATATACACAAATGAAAACACACTCCACATTCATGGACTGGAACACAATATCATAAAGATTCCAATACCACCCAACACAATTCAAATGCAATCTATCTCAAAATCCCAGTGAGATTTTTCCATAAAAAGAAAAACCTGTTCTAAAATGCTTTCAGCATATCAAGGAACCCTGAATACTCAAAGCAATCTTGAAAGAGCACAAAGTTAGAGAACTCACACTTCATGATTTCAAAACTTACTGTAAAGCTATAGTAATACAAACARTTTAGTATTGACATGAAGACAGACACTTGGAACAACGGAATACAAAACCCAGAAATAAAACATCTGATGCCAAGCCTGATGGCACACGCCTGTAATCCCAGCAACTTGGGAGGCTGAGTGAGAAAGATTACAAGTTCAAAGCCAGACTGAGCAATTTAGTGAGAGCCCATTTAAAAAAAAAAAAAAAAAAACAAAACATAAAAAGGGTTGGGGATGTAGCTCAGTGATGAAGCCTCTCTGGGTTTAACACCTGGTACAACTAAAATATAAATAAATAAAAATAAAGCTTTTTTGCATTATGTCAAAAATTTTGACAAGTCTGTCAAGTTCATTGAGAGGGAAGAAGGTAGTCTCTTAAACAAATTATTTTGGGAAAACTGAATATACACACACAGAAGAAAGTGGACTTTACCTAATATTACATATAAAAATTAACTCAAACTGAATCAGCCCAGTAAAACCTAAAGGTATAAAACTTCAGAGAAAAACATAAGGCAAAATCTTCAAGACATGAGATTTGGCAATGATTTCTTAAATCTGACATCAAAGGCATAGGCAACAAAATAAAAAGCAGATGAATTGAACATTATGAAAATGTTTTAAATTTTGCATCAAAGACAAAAAACAGGGGCTGGGGATGTGGCTCAAGCGGTAGCGCGCTCGCCTGGCATGCGTGCGGCCCGGGTTCGATCCTCAGCACCACATACCAACAAAGATGTTGTGTCCGCCGAGAACTAAATAAATAAATAAATATTTTAAAAAAAAAAAAAGACAAAAAACAGTAATCCACAGAATGTGATAAAATATTTGCAAATCATTTATCTGATATCTGTATATATCCAGAATACAAACAGAACTCCTAAAACTCAAAAACAAACAACAACCTAGTTCAAAATGAGCAAAGGACCTGAAAAGATATTTCTCCAAAAAACTACAAATGGTAGATAAGCATATGAAGAAGCTTGACATCATAATCATTACAAAAATGCAAATAAATGTAAGATGCCAGCTTAGGATGGCAACTATTAAAAAAAAAAAGAAAGAAAAAGAAATATTAACAAGGATGTAGACTAAACCCCTGTGCATTGGTGGTAGAAATATAAAATGGTGCAGCTGCTGTGGAAAATAGCGTGGCAATTTCCTCAAAAAATTAAAGAATTATCATGTGATATAGCAATTCTATTTTTGCGTATATAACCAGACAATTCAAAGGAATGTCTCAAAGAGATTTTTATTTTTGTAAATTCACATTCATAGAAGCATTATTCACAATAGTTCAAAATTACAAGCAACTGAAGTATCCATTGGTGGATAAGCAAAATGTGGTAATGGAAGTGAACACTACAACATCAACTAAAGTAGTCGTCTCAAAGCAGTAAGACTGAGTGGCAGGTAATGAAGTGGGGCATTTAAAAAGTTATAGTACTATAGCCAGGTGTGGTAGTGTACACCTATAATCCCTATAATCTAGAGGCTGAAGCAGTAGGATACCAAGTTTGAGATCAACCTCTCAGCAATTTAGTGAAGTCCTAGGCCACTTAGACCTGTCTCAAAATAAAAAATAAATAGGAGCCAGGCACCGTAGTTTCCAGTGGCTTGGGAAACTGAGACAGGAGGATCTCGAGTTCAAAGCCAGCCTCAGCAATGGCAAAAGTGACGCAACTCAGTGAGATGCCATCTCTAAATAAAATACAAAACAGGGCTGGGGATTTGGCTCGGTGGTTGAGTGCCCCCGTGTTCAATCCCTGGTACCCACCACCTGCCAAAAAATGTGGACTAGGAATGTGGCTCAGTGGTTAAGTGCCCCTGGGTTCAATTCTCTGTATCAAAAAAATACAAAATAAAAGTTATAGTATTAGCCTTAAAAAGGAAGAAAATTCTGACATACACTACAACATGGAAGAACCCAGAGGACACATTAAATGAAATAAGTTAGTTATAGGAAGACAAATATTGCAGGATCCATTTATATAAAGTGACTAGTCAAAATCAGAGATAATGGGCTGGGGTTCAGGGTATAGCTTATTGGTAAAGCATGTACTTAGCCAGCATAAGGCTCTGGTTCAATCCTCCCCCCCACCACCAAAAAAAAMCAGAAAAAAGCAGAATGGTGGCTGCCAAGAGCTGGGGAAAAGAGGAATGGTGAGTTATTATTTAATGAGTACAGTTTTATGTTTTACAAACTGAAGTGTACTGAATATGGTTGCTGGTGATAGCTGCACAAGATTACTATTGTACTTAATACAACTAAACTGTACATTTACAAATGGTCAAGACTGTAGATTTTATATGTAGTTTATCACAATAAAAAAAATTGGGAAACAAGAACACTAAAAATAATAGTTATGTCAGATTTCAGATATAGTTACCATATTTTTTTTAATCATACGATGTTACCATATTTTTTTTACCCATATATTTAAACGTTTGACATTAATGTCTCAATTTTGTAACATTAACAAATCACTAATTAATAGTTGAAGGCCTCTTGTTTTGTTTACTTTCTTGTCCAGAAAGACACTTACCTAAACTTGTGGGCTTGATGAGAACATCAAGGACATCATAAAAGGGCAGGTTTTTTAACTGCACATCAGGATGGACAGGAGGAATCGGAGGAGATGGTTGCTGCATCTCAAATGTGGGCTTAGTATCTTGAAGCAGCACAGAACCAACAGGAGAGGACGGTGAGTGAGGTGTAACTGAAGTGGAAGGCAATGAGTGGATTCCAGCCACAGCCAAGTCAGGTTCTACAGGTGATGAGCTACCATCCAAATTAAAAACGGATGATTTGATTGTGGATAAATCCGAAAGTCCTTCAAGAGTCCGAGGATATCGACGTCTATACAATTCTCGGATTTTAATCTGAACCGCAGGGCTGCAGCCACTCTTCAATAAATGCAGCGCCCTCATTAGGAGGTCATGTTTGCGTCCACTTTTATTCCGTCCAGCAAAGCCTAGTAACACTTGTAGTTCAGAAACCCTAAAACTAGAAACCATATTCTAAAAAGAAAGAGAAAAAAGATAAGCCAATAGTCATCTCCAAACATAAAAATCCCACCTAAAATATACTATAAAATCTGATTTTTTCCTCTATCAATTGACACATGCTAGTAATCAGCATTTTTCACATACCAACTTAGAATCACTAATATTCATAAAACCATCTCCCATAAAAATGATTCAAATTACATCATTAAATTATACCTCATTAAACTCTTAATTCTGGTAATCTAATCTACTAGTGTCTATTAACCTCTTCGTTATTTGATTATGCACTAATTAAATCCACATTTGCTTTATTATGAATTCTATAACCAATGGAAATGTTCTTTTACAAAAGTAAGCCTAGTATTTGTGTTGTTACAAAGTTATCACTAATTAACCTAGCAAAAAATTAGATGTGGTTACTTAGTAAATTTATAAAATCAAGTCATATAATTGTGATCCAAAACCCAATGAATTTTTATTTTACCCCAACTCAAATATTAGGGAACAGACAATATAATATGAAACTGATATTTTAAAATATTAAAGCTAAAAATCATTTCCATTTTATTTAGCAATCAAACTTTCAAAATTATTAAAAATCCTAGCTAGATATTGAAATGAGAAAAATACTTTTGAAAATGGAGAGTCAACTAAAGGACAAGATTACCCTCCACCTCACTCTACTGACTTATTTTTGGGTATAAAATAAAGGCAGTTCCTGTTTTACATCTCACCTTCTATTTATTCAACAAAATCTAATGAATACTTTTAACCACCTGCTGCCTCATGAATTCTGCTATTGTGATTTTTGAGTTGATTCTGAATTTAAAGGTAAACCACATGGGTCAGATTTACCAAAATCACACATCCACCATCTAACGAGAGAGAGGAAGACCTGGAGCTGACCAAAATCCTTTCAGAAACCTACTCACAGAAGACCCTTTTCTTACTGTGACTTGAGGTTTCTCCACGCATCCTAATCAGTGAGGCTCAAACCTAAGCAGCCAGGTATTCGTTTTCTGGACAACTTGGGGTCTTATCCCCTCAAATAATTGGAGATTACGTACACAAAGGAAAAGATTTATAATGTCACATGATTCTGAACAGCAGAAGAAAAGTCTCTGCATTTACAAAATGCTGCAAAAATAAAGTAATGCCAAAAACACAATCAAAGATAATGGTTTTGAGAGTCAATGAACCGCTATAGAAAACTTCAGTCCAGCAAGTCAGTAGCTGTAGGTCAAACCCTGGCACCAAGACTTAGGACCTCGGGAAAGACATTTCATTTCTCTGGTCTTCAATTTCCATTTAATTACAACAGCAAATACCTGTAATCCTCACTACTTAGGAGGCTAAAGCAGAAGGAACTCAAGTTTGTCAAGGCCATTTAGCTATTTAACAAGACCATGTCTCAAAAATAAAAAGGTCTGGGGATGTAGCTGAGTGGTAGAATACTTGCCTGTCATGCAAGATCTTGGGTTCAATCCCTATTGCAACCAAATTAACTAAAGCAACAATAAAAACCTCCTCTTCTTTATTTAGCACTTACATAATCTTTGAACCAAGCTTCAAATTCTTCCTCCAGTGAATGGGTATGCTTAGTAGGAAGGATCATTAAAAACCATAGAGGGGCGAAATTAACCTGCTATGAATACTACCAAGAACTGATTTCAGCTACTATTCTCTACTAATCTCTGATGTCTATTAACTTTAATCTATTTTTTTAAGTGAATTTTTTCTACTCCACTCTGCCATCTCTAAAATGTTCTCAAAGTATGATTTCCAATACTTCAGTAACAACTTCTATGTACTCTACAGAGGAATATGGCATGAGACACAGGGCTGGGGTGTAGTTCAATGGCATTGTGCTTGGGGCTGGGGATGTGGCTCAAGCGGTAGCGCGCTCGMCTGGTTTGCGTGCGGCCCGGGTTCAATCTTCAACACCACATACAAACAAAGATGTTGTGTCCGCTGAAAAACTAAAAAATATTTAAAAAATTTTTTTAAAAATGGCATTGTGCCTGCGTAGCACGCAAGAAGCTCAGTGTTCAATCACCAGAATGTGTGTACACACACATGATACATTATCTGAATTCTAAATAAAAAACTAATGTAAATTAAGACTAAAACTTATAATAATCGACCCTGTTTCTTTACCATATTTTATAAACACAAAATTATAAAAATGTTAAAACTGGAACATTATGTAATTTAAATATTACATTCATGAAGGCATATTCACATACAAAATAACCCACATTAAGCAGGAAAATAATTACATGTCATCAATGAATAAAAATATTTCCCTGACACTACTCTTCAACTTTAAACATGAGATAGAAAAAACAAAAAAACAGTCTGAAATAAGTTAGAAACAGTAGTAAAATCAATACAACTATTTTGCAAATATCCCATCTGCAGTGATGTATAATATGGGCGCCAGAGAGGGTACCAAGGGAAACTGAAAAAAATCATACTATTATTACATATTTTAGCTATGTTAAAATAGTACATTTTTATATATAAGAAAAAATAAAGACAAGACTAACATAGTCAACATGTCAAATGGGTGACCACGCAAAAGTCATCAAATGATATGGCAATTTTCAATCACTAGCCATTTCAGAGAATGCGGGAGGTCCAATTCTTGGTTTTTATTACTGGTAAAATCATATTTTCCGTATAATCAAGTTCCCTTTTACTTGAGGGTCCTTAAATCAGTCTCTACATTACAATGATTACAGTAGCTTCCAGTGTAACAAAATCAAAACCAAATTCAGCTATTAAAAGAAACAATAAAGAACATACTACTTTTCAAAAATCTATAAACCTTAGAGAACATCTCCTAAATGCTTCTTTTACTATACAATAAAGATTTAACACGTGTACTCCTGGCGGCTCTGGAGGTGGAGGCAGGAGGATTACAAGTTCAAAGCCAGTCTCAGCAACTTAGCAAGGCCCTAAGCAACTCAATGAGACCCTTTCTCTAAATAACATATTTTAAAAGGGCTGGGGATGTGGCTCAGTGTTAGTTAAGCGCCCCAGGTTCAATCCCAGGTACCAAAAAGACAAAAAAATAACAGTCAAGAAAACAAATAACCAACAAGAAAACAAACCACAAAAGTAAAGAATTAAATAAAGCAAAAAATATGAATGAGAAAACAAAATGCAGTCTATAAAAAAAAAAAAAATCAGGCCCCCAAAAGGGAAAGCTAACAAATGCAGACTTCAAAATAAGAAAAGGCTCATAAAGATCACAAATACTATGAAAATTTCTTTAAGAGAACTTTATGCAACTATGTCCTAACAACCAAAAGCAATTTCCTAGAGAACTATAAAAACTATAAATTACTCCATCCAAATCAAAAAGATGTAGTAGTATCTGCCCCCCCCCGCACCCCCCCACACACATTCAAACACATCTACCAAACAAGGCAGTTTAGTGAAAGAATTCTATCAGTTCCCAAGAAAATTATGAAATTGTTTCCTAAACTGCCTAACAGTATTCAAGTCTAAGAGTCAAAATACAAAATACTTGTTAGAAGACAAAGCGAAAAACATTGAACACCAAATTTTAAAAACATGCAAACTGATGATATTAAAATTTCAGCAGTGGTGTTTACCTCATCCAACCAAAATTTCAGGCAAAGCCTGATGAAACAATGGACCTAATGCACTATTCTTTCTCATTTCCCAAAATAGACCATAAAATGTCCACTTATTAGGTTTGGATTTTTTTTTTTTTTTTTTTGGAGAGAGAGAGAGAACCTTTTATATATATATATATATTTAGTTTTAGGTGGATACAACATCTTTGTTGGTATGTGGTGCTGAGGATCGAAACCGGGCCGCACGCATGCCAGGAGAGCGCGCTACCGCTTGAGCCACATCCCCAGCCCGGGTTTGGATTTTAATGTCGCCCACAGGCCATGTATTGAGGCTGGTCACTAGCATGTGAGAGGTGATGAAACCTTTAAGAGGTGGTACTTAGTAGAAAGAAATTAAGTCACTGGGAGCAGGCCCCCAAAGGGGATAAAGGAACCCTGGCCCCTTCCTCTCTTAGCTCCCAGTCTGCCATATATAAAACAACTCTGTTCCACAATGTGCCCTCCCCCTACAATGTTCCGCCTAACCAAGGGCCCAAACTAATAGGGCCAAGTGAATATGGACTGAAACCTCAGAAACTGAGAACCAAAATAAATATTTTCTCCTTATAAACTGATTATCCCACGTATTTTATCACAGCAAGGGAAAGTTAACTAACACACTGCTATAATATGGGGGGAGGGGGAACTATTGAGGAAAGGTGATAAATCATACAACTACTGCTTATTCGATTACAATAGTAAAACAATAAACACCTTCATTTATGAATACGGTATAATTTATAAACCAATATTAACACATCAACAATGTTTTCTGAAGTATACCAATTCAGTATATCTGAAAAATATATGAACAATTTAACATAAATTGAGTAAAGTACTTGGTTTAGATGATCTCTACCCAGAGCAGCGGGTTTAGGTCAGTGRCAGAGAACTTGCCTTGCAAGAGCAAGCTGGACAGGGTAAAATTCCTATCCTTAAAGTCAAGTAGTACAAAATATCAGGTTTTCTTTTGACTAATTTGTAGAAAGTAAGTAGGTAAACACCTACATGAAAAAAAGAGGAATTGATCACGATTGAAGTTCAGTGTTGAGTACATGAGGAATTCTCTCTGGAAATGTAAGAATGTAACCATAATTAAAAGTTTGCTTAAACAGAGGAAACTAGGTACCTGTCATATAGTGACTCTCTCTGTACTACATTCCAGGCTTTTCTATAAATCTCAAAGTAGTCTAGACTTAAATTTAAAAAATGACAGTTTGTTTAAAGGTGGTGAGTGGTGTAGGAAGATTGTGGTTTAAGTAGCATTTCCCATTAAAGGAACCCAGGCTCCTTAGGGGAAATGCTGGATTAGAGATGTGGGGTAGGAAATGCATACAAGATCAACCTAAACCATTTTATCACACC